CGTAGTCCAGGGCCGCATCTGCGCGCTCCTCAAGCACCCCGGTGCCGCGGGGCAGCGCGCACAGCAGCAGCACCAGAGGCGGCAGCAGCGGGGAAACCAGGACCCAGAGCACAGTGGCCCTGGGCATGGTGGCGCAGGGTCGGCACGACTGGGACGGTACACGGGGTCGGCTGGCGGCAGCGGCTCAGCGGTCACGCGCGGCTGCCGGACGAGGCTCTCACGGAGCAGGCAGAGCGCGGAGCGCCATTCGCGTCGAGGCTCCAGAGCCGCAGCTCTGAGCGACTCGTGGGGCGGCCGGGCCGGGGCTGCCTGCGGCGGCTGCGACCGGGGGCGGCGGCGGTGGAGCGGCAGCAGCCCCGCCCCGCCCCCTCCACGGGGGCTGGACCGCAAGCCCTCGCCGGGCCCCGCCCGGCCAATCAATCGCGCGCCCGTGGCGAGGCCCCGCCTCTTCCCGGCACCTCCGCGCCTTCGGAGGAAGGGAGCGCGGCGAGGAAGCCCTGCCTGCGAGGGCCGGGGCCGGGGGCTCCCACCCAGCCGAAGGCCGGAGTCCGGCCGGTACCACCTAGGCCGCAGACCCCGGGAACACTGCTCCCAAGGACCGGGGCCAGGTTCCCGCCTTGTTTTATTCTCCTAACGCACTTTACAACTCCCTAGTGCACACGTGGACGGAGGCAGGAGCGGGGTGAGCAGTGCGGTGCGAGCGGTCTGCCTGCCTACCAACTCGCAGTGCGCTTTCGGGCTACCGCTTCTCCGCAGCGCCGAACTGAAAGTCTCTAGGGCACTCTTAGTGCGGGGGAAGCGGGGCGCAGCGAGGATTTACGATTCTCTCAGTTCTCAACACCCGCGTGTCCAGCCAAGAAAGCCGCTCGCTGCAGCACCCATCTATCGTAGGGGGGAGAATGGTGATTTGTAAGGAAGAACGATTTAAGAGAACAGATTTAGATGGACAAATGCAACAGCTGTAGAGCTGTTTATGTAAAATCACAGGCATGTTTTATCGAGTAAGCCCCTCACCATTAACGTGATGGAATGAAAATGCCCAATTTTTGAAATCCAGATTTATTTTTCTGTGAATGAAAAACGCATGCCCAAGTAATTTAGAGGAATAATCAAAAGCTATTGCAATTTATTTGTATGCTGTACCTTAAATGTAAAAATTGTCAGAATGGAGCCATTTGGGTATAGAAATGTATTATTACTGTGAAGCTTTCCAAAGATCTTTCTATGTAAGCAAAATTGCCCTAATCAACAAGTATAACACATCAGTGAATGTACTGAAATTCTTAGCATCAGATACATAATTTTTAAAATTTAAATTGCAAGAGAATGGGCAATCATTTGGTTTCCACAGTTTCATAGCCTCTAGCGATAGAATAGTTGACAAGAGGCTCAGAGCTGAATTTCTTATGTTATGATATTTATCTTTTTTATCACAGAGGGTAGTGGTGAGGAGCCTACAAAAAGGGTGCTATTTTCAAGACAAAAGATGTTAATGTATTTTTTTTTCTACATAAAACCTCAGTGTTCAGGTTCAATTGCAGTGTTGGTACTTTGCAACAAGTGGATTTTAGGTTAGTCTGGGCACTCATCTCTAAAAGCTTCACCATCATTGACCTAGGCTAGTAATTCCTCAACTAGGATGATCATTCCTTCAAATCAAGAGCTGTAAGTTAACCTTTGGATATTGCTCGCTGGCTCTTACAAAGAAATAGTTAACCCTGACCCTCCTGTCCTCTAAATTCTCATGAAATAGGCACAGGATGGAGCTACTAGATGGAACACAGTCTCATTAGGAACTGGGTCTTGGGATGAAGTGGGGCTTGGATGCCACCAAATGGTAGGGAAAGCCAAGTGGCCACTAAATAGGCAGTATGTGTGGAAGGGGTTGAACAGCATTTCTGCCTGAATGCTGGAAGGAGTCAAACCCAACGCCATAGTTTTCTGCATAAGCCCCATTGAAGGTCACCACCTGTTGGTAGACAAGTCCACAAAGTTAACATCTAAAAGGCCTAACAAACTTGTGTGACACTTCCAGGTCTCCAGATGGCACTAGGCAAACAGCCAACTGGCTTCTTCATTAGCAGGGAATCCCTCTGGAAAGGTGACATTAGAGGCCAACTCTTCTGCATGCCCTAAGGTTGTGAGCTTTTATTACCTCTAATCTCCAGGCTGTGAGTAACTGCCAGGTCTTTTCATTAATGCCCTTTGTTCATATATTTTGAAGATATTGTTTCAAGAATAATCACTGTTCATCAACCAACAAACAGCAACAAAGTACTCTAGCGGGTTACAAAGGTTAGGAATAACTGAAAAGGGATGATCAATGTTTTTCTCATCAGTTTTATAGCTCCTGATTTTATAGTAAATTCTAATCTGGATTCAAATAATTTTAAAATATATTAAGTTAAATTCCATGAGAAAACCAGAGGTAAATTTAGAACAAAATGCTTTTAGGAACTAAAGCTGCTCAATTTAGTTCCACTGTACATTCTTAATTACTTACGGGTTTCCTGCCTAGATCACTGGGTCCTGTAGAAAACCTGATTTCTTTTCTTATCAGTTGTCCAACTCATTCCCCAGAACAGAATAACCAGGTTCTTTGCAGCTGTTCTCAAACTCCCTCAAGTCTACTGAGCTTTATCCTTATTTACCCCAGCTAGGCTATTGTTTTACCTTTTCAGACCACTGTGTAGGATTTCCCATGCAGAGAGCAGAAATCCCAGAATCAAGTCCACACTTCATGAGCCATTCCTTCCTTTAGAGTGCTTACAAGGTACAATGTTTATGTACCAATGCCCTATAATGAATATTGTATTGGGAATGTTCGACAGCTGCTTTTAAACTTTTTGACCTTCCAAATCCTTTTTCCCAGCAGATGGAACATTAAGACCCACCATCCACCGCTGGTCCTTCCTTCTCGGTTCTGACTCTTGTCATTTCCCAAACTTCACTCTGGCTACATTTAGCACCTGTAGTCTGCCTAGAAGAAACGTGTTCCTTCGCCTCACCATGCTTCTGCCTGGGACACTTGATAGAACAGACCCTGTATCCTCATTTCAGGTTCTATTAAGGAGATACCACATTTATGTGTCTCTCCTACTCATTAGTTCTATACTGTGACTTTATTCCTTTTTATGGCAAACTCTAATCTGGATTCAAGTAACTTTTAAATGTTTTTCTTTAAATTAACTTCTATGAGAAAACTGCCCATCTTTCTACAAACCGCAGACCTCTTTAGCCAACTCCACTTTGGAACCACCTTCTATGTCTCATTCAACCTTTCCTTCCCTTCAGTGACTGCCAGAAGTCAGTCCTGTGTTTTTGGTGGCTTACAGTGATCAGCTACAAATAATTCAAATGCTGGCCAGTTAAAACTTACATCAACTTTTCCCTACAATCACTGCAATCAAGATTTGAAACTGTCACCTTAAGCATGCAAATTTGAAAATTAAAATAATTTTAATAAGTAATTTTAAATATCTTTGTAGAACTGTTTCCACTTGCCCTCAGGTAGGCCTATCCCTTTTTTAAATGCTATATTGCAGGTTAAAATCCTCACTTTGAAAAGCTGGCTGCACAACAGAATTCCTTCTGTCCTTAGTTTTCCAACCAAACAAAAAGGGCTTATTAAAGAGATCAGACACGATCACAATTTTGTACTAACTTATTTGTCTAGCAGGAATTGCCAAGTGCTGAGGCACCTCCCTAATAAAATAGGGAGTGAAAAGAACAAGGTTGACAAGGATCTTAAAAACTAGTTAAAAATGAAGTCTCATGAAAAACATAGAGAAATTAACCACTAATTTCAATGCGGAATAAAAATAATCCTTCTCATGTGTATAAAGCACTGATATTCAACATGACTTTGTAAGTATTACCTGCCTACCGGCTGTGGAAAAGATACCTCCACTTTATAGTTACAAGCACCAAGTTAACAAGGCCCTGTATGATTACTTCAGGGCTAAAACTACAAGCCACTCTAGCTGCCTCAGTTTCTCATTACTGTCAGCTTCATAGGACAGTCATAAGGTTAATATATGTGAGACTGTTTTGAAAGAAGTATTACATACTAAGTAGATAAAAGCAATGTATTACCAATCCCCTCAAGATACTCCCCTTGCTACAGGCACACATCCCCCCCACCTTTTGTTTTTGTTGGGAGTACCAGGGAACAACCCTGCACTTGCCAGGCAGGCGCTGTGCCACTGACCTACATTTCCCAGCTCTGCCCCATCTTTCTTGCCACTGTCGGAAGCAGTTCTAGAAATCCTTTAGGAGGAATGACCAACAGGAAGTGCTGCAGCCGAGTGCCACACAGTCATGGTGCGTCCTCACTGGCCTTACCGACCTCATCTGGAACCCTGACTTCGGGCTCTTCCTCAACCATCAGATGACAATAAAAGGCAAATGCTTTGACTCACTTCAGGATATCCAGACAGCCACAGCAATGTAACTAGACTGAGGCTCCAGAAGAGCTTCAAAAAGTGGCAGAAGCGATCTTTGAAACGAGGTCAAGTTTTTGAGGAGGATTAATAACATTATTTATTGTAAGAAAAAATTTTTTAAAATTAACATTTGCCATATTTTTTGATCACAGCTCATAGTCAAAAGAATGGTAATAAAACCATTTTTTAAAAAGGACAAATCTTATAATTGTACCATTCTTTCGACTATTCTGTGCATTAAATTTTTGTCCAAAATACAAGTTTGGCAAGGAAAATCAAACCTTAAATTTCAAATCCTTCATTTCAGAGGTCAGCAAACTGTGGCCAAGAGCCGCTCTCTGAAGTTAGACTCACATTCACTAGTTTACGGACTGTCTCCCAAGGCTGCTTTGTGTAAGCACAGCAGACACTGCATGTCCTCATACCTGTTTATGTGTGGCTCTCCCTACTTTGCCTGTGGAAAGCCAGTCACCTCACCTCTTCACATGCATACCAGAGTTAACAGGTCAGCCCTATGCTCGATGCTCCTGTTTCAACAAGGAAAGACAGCAAGCGTCCAAAGGAAGTCCATTTAACTTTTATTACTCTTTAAAAATCCATCTCCAGATAGAGTAACAGACTAGATTAGAACCTCAGTTGTATTTTATACATGATATACTGGATTTCTATGACCAAAAAGGTAGTTGGAATATGGCCTTCACAAATCAAGGGTGTATACAAAATTGAAGTGATCATTGGGTACGGCTTCCTTTCAACTGTTGATTATCCATGCTTTGTGAGGATTTATAGGTTCAAGTTTGAAAGACCAGGTGGGACTGCTTTTCCAAGAATGCTGCTGACCTTCAAATAAAACTCCATTGTTTTTCTTCCTTGTCCTAAGCTCTTACAGATGCTTATAACTTTAAACGACCTAAGTTGATGAACTGGGGTTCACACACTGTACTTTGTCATTTTTATTACAGCCTAGTTCAACAGTGCATTTATAAACTGCTTTCACAGCAGTTTGTATTTCCTAACAACGAAACAAGAATTTCATTTTATTTCTGTGTCTGTACATATCTATTAACAGCTCAAATAAGAACGTTAAACCAGACCCAACTTTCAGGAAATGCTTACAAAAGAAAACTGGAGCCAGCCATGATGGCACACTTTTATAATCTCAGCACTCAGAAAGCTGAGGCAGAAGGATCACCATGAGTTCAAGGCCAGCCTGGGCTACATAAGCAAGTTCAAGGCTAGTGTGAACTACACAGTAAGACCCTGTCCCCCAAAAGTAAAACAGAACTAGAGCTACTCCTCATAGTCAATTTAAACTTACGAAGTTCCGGCAGGTATGTTAACCTTCTGATGTACACTATTTATAAACCTAGTCTGTACTCCTACACACTTGCAAAATCTTCCTAAATTTCCATATCTCTCATCTCTTTAATATAGTACCTTGATTGCTAAAACATAGTTTCATAACTATTGAACCATAATGAAGATATAAACCATTAATAAGTTCGTTTTCATACATCTATTCCTACTTATATGTTCCAATAAATTGACAGAATCAAGCACAAAGACACACTGCAATCTAAACCTAAAACGTTCAAGAAACTGCAGTGGACTGGCTTTTAAAAATAGGCTTCCTCACCCCCCGGAATTCATATATAAGCCCTTCAGAACGTAGCCTCTCTTGAACAAATTAATACACTGGTTTCTTTTTTACATTTGTAAAAATTCAGCAAGTTTTAAAATAACATTTATTTGCAAGTCACTTGGCATAAAGTGGTTAGTAAACATTTAGGGAACAAATGCTTTATCAAAATGAATACTATTTGTGGATAAATCCTAAATGAAAGTGGCATTTGGAAGAATTGAAATTTACAGCAATCCCCAATTATGGTTTATCCATTCAGTGGGAAACACCCAAGCACACTATTCACTAGTTTCAGACATCACAATATACTGAATTCTAAGAGTATGGCGTTTAAGGGCAATCCCAAAATATCTAGGAGCCCAACATGATATATGAAATACCACCTTATCATTCCTCCAGCGATTGCATTTCTACCTTACTTTCTCTTATACCAGGATACATGTATAACAATGTCAACCTAATGAAGTTAAATTTCAGGACAAGTACACTTAAAGCTACATAAAGTTTATCTTTAGTTTTTGATTGTGCTCAAAGTATGAGTTGATGAGCTGGGCAAATGTTAGCAAATGGAAGAGATATGCAGCATTAATGGAGTAGAAAAACCCCACCTTTTAATTAATTTAAAAAATACTCTATTTCATTATTCTGCAACTGATAGCTAGGGAAATAAAACATTTGTGAACTACATCTTCTTCAACACATGCATGCTTACTTCACCACTGAAGAAAACCAAAAACCAATTAAGTTCTTTTGTAAAGGACTTTCAAGGTGACTTAATGTTTCTAGTGTATGTGGAAATTAGAAAATTATTTTCATAGATTCAAATAACTTCAAATAGAGCTCACTTCAGTTAAAAAAGTTGGTGCACCTGCAAACAGCTAAACCATTTATTTGAAACCTCCGTATCTTACCTGCAAGACTTAGACCATTAAAAACAAACTGCATTAAGACAAAAGTGTGCTCTCTAGTTGATATTCCATCAGATACTATAAGTACTTTACATATTAAAAAAAGCTATATAAGCAATTAAATACCAACCTTTAAATTTCTTATAAGTTCATAAAAGCAGGTGAAGATAAAGAAAACACTTTGGAAAAATGAGATTATATTTAACATTCAGTCTTGAACAAGAGGATCTACCTACAGCTTCTGATCAAATTTCTATCTGTTCACATCAACCATACTTATAAGAAATCAAACTTTAACTCTTTATAGCCACAATATAGGATATGGGGCCTATCATTTTATAGAAATATATTTTTTGGTAAAAACATTTTATGTAACTATTAATGACACGACTTTCATATTAAGGTGTAATAGAGCTGATCTGTGCCTTTCTAATTTTAAAAATAATAATATTCAGTAGTTTTAGGTCATGTGCCTATGCAAAACTATCAAACTAGAAAATTTCACATTATGAAAAAAAAGTATGAAAAAAATGTATTCTAAATTTAAAAATCACTTCTTTTTAAAAACTGTAACTTTAAATTGGGCATAGTGGCACGTGCTACAGATTTGGCACTCTAGGAGGCTGAAGCAAGAGGATTCCAAGTTTGGGACGAGTCCAAGCAACTTAGTAAGACCCTGTCTCAAAGTAAAAAATAAAAAGGACTCAGAAGTAGCTCATGTGTAAAAGGTCCTAAGTTCATCTTCCAGCACTACAAGGAAAGAAAGGAGGGAAGGAGGGAGGGGAAAAAAAGGAAGGGAGGGGAGGGGAGGAAAACGGGAGGGAATGGAAGAAAAGTATTGGTTCAGCCAATAGTTAGCTAGCCACTCATACTTTATCCCGTTTTACACGGGACACCAATTAGAACAGATTTTGTGCCACAAGTTCATTCAAAGGACTTACTGTTTACTTTGTGATTACACTGAATAATCTAGAAGTAGGCAAGTTTGGGAATTTAAGTGAGGGCCCTCTGTATTAGAAAAACATACTTTATAGTATATTAACAAAATAACTGGCATTTAATATTGTTTTTGAACAGGTATCTTCAAACTATGAACACATCTATTTCCACAAAACAATTTGGTCAGGAAATTTTATTTGAACATTCTAAAGCAGTAATGCTTTAGATGTTACTTAAGTGTCCCAGACAGGATTAACAAAATTAAATGTTTCTAAATTACAAATTTAGCTCCTATAGGAGTTTCAGAAAAGAAACAAGAAAACAACCCCCCTCCCAAAAGAATTATGACACACACATTTGAAGAAACCCCAATGTTTCATGCAATGGTAGGCAAGATGTAAAAGGCCACCCAAATTCACACATTTCTACACCAATCATCATCAGGAAAAAGTACTCCTCAGTCAATCTGTACATCCAAATGCAACTGGGAATCTATACCTACATTACATTATTTAATGTTATATACATTAATTATCCATCCCCCCTTGCTTTTAATAATTTTTTATGTAAAGCCTTCATTCAAACCCAAAAAAGATGTTGGACTAACTTGGGAGAAAAAATGATAATCACTGTAGACATTCAGTTAAAATGTAGTTTATCTAAATTTCAGAATGTTTAATAAAAGCAAAGATCTTCTCCATTTAACATTTTTTGCTTTCTAACTGTACAGTAAATTGCATTGTGAGAGAGTAGCCTCTATCTTCAGACTGTATCTTCTTTGGATGGAATTAAAATATAACTGGATAATTAGACAAATGGGAAGTTGGTCCAACTAAGATGACAGTAGATATATTACATGCAGAATTTAAAATTTCTCTGTAAAAAAAAAAAAGAATGCAGTTGAATTGAAAACAAAAACAAAAATAAAATCGGTCAAAAAGAACTCAGATTCAATATATAAAAATGTCCCACAATAGGTCGACAAATGGCAGTAAAAATAAGAGGAAAAAGGTCATCTTTCTGGAACATCATTTTTTCAATAACAGAAACACCAAGTGCCAGGAAGATTTCTATCCATGTAAAATGTTAGCATCCAAGTTTCCCTCTATTTACTTTATTGGAACAAATGCTTTAAGTAAACAATTTGTCCTCTTCACTGAAGAGAGCTGGTCTATTTCATCTTTAATGAGCTAGTTTTTTGGGAGGATTAGCCATATACGGTAGTAATGCCTACTACATAAATCCAAGCATTTGCTGTGAACAGTTGGAGAAAGCAGTCAGTAAGAACCTAGATCAATGGAAATAGATGTTACTTTAAGCCATCCATGAAAGAGACATCCTCAGAGTACCCAGTGTTAAGCCCAAAATCTCTTCTTGCGCTTTTTTTTGTTGTGCAAGTTTCACCCTTTTGAAAGAGAAATTGATCCAAAGTTCCAGGTTTTCTTGGGTCTCTAGTCGATTTTCACATTAGTATAGATTTTTCGGACAAAGGCACTTGTTCCCATATAACCAATTGCTCCTACAAAGAGAAAATAAGTTTAAAATAAATACAGAACAAAATCCATCATTTACAAACATCAAATCCTCTTTGTCTAGAAAACTACCTTTTTTCAAGGCACCTTTACATTAGCATTCTCCTTGAACTTATTAAAACTGTAATCATGTCTTACAAAGTATGTTACTGTTGTATACCAAGTTAAACCTAATGTAATTTGATTCTATATCAAATGGCCGATTACTTGTACAATCAGTAATTACGGAATTAAAATACATCTCTTGTAAAAACAAGACCAACCTGGTAATGATAAAACCTTGCTAAATGAAAAACGTACCTTATTTGACTTGAGCACATTTTGCTCTGTGTCATTAATGCCGAACCAACAAACATTCCCAAGTAAGAAGGCACAAGGGTTACTCTCAGAGGAGAAAAGTATATTCTAGGGACTTTACAGATATAGATACAATTACTTTCTGAGGTCTTTTTTTAATATTTAAATCACAGAAGCTGTGTGGTTGGTAGAAAGGATAGTAAGTAATTAATAGGAAACAAGAGTTTTTTTTTTTAAATGTTTTGAATAAGAGCGTCAAATAGGGCACAAAACTCCAGAAGCAGGGAGATTTGTCTACATGGTTAATGAACTATTTCTGTGTCTAAAAGAATGCTGGGCACGTGAAAAAAGACTCAATACATATTTGTTGTATGCAGCATAACGAATGTAACTGGCTGAGTCTGTAATCATCATACCGGAGGTGGAGGACATGAAATCTCTCATTCTATAAATATTTGAAATTTTCCCATTATTAAATACTAAAATTACAGAAAAAATCCTACCAAAATATAAAGTAAACTTGGATTCTTATCTAAAAAATGTGAAAACTATCAAAAACTGAACTGATAAAATATAGCACAAATCCAACAACCAAATCCAATTTTCCACCTCCATTGTTCTCTTTTGAGCAGAAATATACATAAAATCAAAACAGCATCAACCTACAGAATGTTTTCTAATCTTATAAATTCCTCAAGTATAAGCTTATAAAACTTTGTAAAAAGATACTGCATATATTCTATAGAAACAGGAATAACAGATACACATAATTTTCTTAAAAATGCTATGTATGCTCTGAACATACAGACCAGAAGTATTTCCCACACTGTCATTTTTCTACATTAAAAATAACCAATATTTTATTACTAATCTTAAATATTTTAACCTACAAAATTGATGGGCATCATAATTTTATATTATGATGACATTTTGGTCAGTTCCAACCTGAACACTATATCCTAGTCCTCCCCCCAACACATTAGCTGTGAAGTATATCAACCCATTAAAAAAATAAGTATTAAGATACCACCTGAGTGTCAGGAAACTATAAATGTACTATGATTTTAGGCAGCAATATAAAATTTCAGTGGGAAAAGCACTCAAAAATTTTAGCTAAGTTCTCCCATGTCTTTTTTTCTAAATGTTAAGATGTTACTTCTCTAGGTTTTTCTAGGTTACATATAGAGAAAATCAAGTCCAGAAAAAATGTTCACTCTATGCATAATGACATACTCTACACCTCACTGAGTAACAGTGATAATCAAGAAAGATTTCACATAAAGAGGAGCCCAGTGAGCATTACTATGATGGAACCCAGAACACTAAAGGAACATTCAATTGTCTGAGGATAATAATACAACCTTGTTTTAACTGTTAGTGCTATATTTATTTTTCCCTCAAAGTTGGTAATTACTAATAAGAATGCTTATAGCAGCAATGCTATAAACATTACTTTAAAGTCACATGATTATAATACAGAGAAACAGTTTTCCTTATAGCTTGTAGAATTAGTTTCAATACTTTACATTCAGTCTCAACTGTGTGTGGACACATAAATCATAGACGTGGTACAAACTGCACATATTCTTCACTGGTGGAGCAAAGCAATATTGGTACCCCAAAGATCTGTATAAATGTTGTACACAGACCAGTCTTTCATAAAATTATTATTATACCTTTCCTATTACATTACCCAACCTGTAGCTTAAAGTAGAAGCTTTTTGTTGTTGTTTTTTGATATGCCTGTGGCAAATTAATGGAAAAAGGAGGAGGCTGTAAGTTATCTACTCTCTGGAAAGGTATCCATAGTGATTAGTCTCATTTATCAAACAAAACAGAGACTAGTCTCATTTACTGAATAAGCCAGTGAACGAGTTTCCTTAAAGTAGCTCTGCCTAGACCTAGTGTCATGAAATTGTTCTGCAGATGACACAAGATATAGAAGCCCATAGTGACTGCAGAAAACAGCTGCAATCCCAGAGCATAACAAACTCAAGGACATGTGGCCTTCAGTAACAGCAGCAGCCACCACTCACTAGACATTGCCACAAGCCCAAGGTATAGTCTTCACATTCAATCCTGCACAACTTTGTAGGTTTTCTTCTATTCTACTAACGAATGGTACAGCTGAGGAAGAAACCATAGTTGTTGGCTATCCCAGAATTCCTACCTATAGTTGATTGAACCCTGAAGTCCAAGTTCTTCTCATTCCTCAGAGTCACTCCTATATAACCAGCTTCCTCTTAGCAACTAACAGTCCAAGTGTTTTCCACATATGATGCTCATTTTACGGATGAGAAATGAAACCGACAGAGGTTAATGTGACTTTTAACACCAAAAAAAAAAAGGTGAGTGACAGCACAGAGATACAAAATTCTTTTGGGCTCTGAGTCCATGTATCACACAAGACATACTATCCTTGTTTTTTAGTTATTTTACAAATGCGAGGGATTCTTATTATATAATGACAACTGTTACCACTTCCTTCTAATGAAAGATTGTCATAGGTCAATGAGACAGTAGTTTCATTCTCATTTTACAGAGGTGTGGAGAATTAGGACAACTAACTAGATCAAGGCACAGTCAGAACTTCAGCCCTGTCTGTAGACATCAGGTATGCATGAGTAGTCACTCAGTAAACCATGCTGCCTCCTAGACACCAGCATCTCCATCAACAGCCCAAGAACGTCCCAACACAAATCATTCAGGCAACACCTTAACCTGCTGACATTATGATCTTCACCAGTGAATTCAAGCTTTGAAACTGTGGATTTTTCAGTACGGATGAAAAACTACATGTAGTTTGTGCTCTGCAGAATTAGTAGAACAGAAATTAATAAGGTGTTAAGTTAGGTTTGGGGAGACTATTTTGGTGTTTCTGATAAAACAACAGAATGAAATTTTCTAATTTCCAATTACTGCATTTTTCTGAGACATTCAGATTTACTTATCCCCCAAGAATTTCAAAACTTACCACACATTATCCCCAAGGCTGTGCTAAATACCGCCATGTATCCAAAGTAAAATGATGTTTGAAATAAGCCATACATCCTGCAATAAGAAATAACTATACTTAGTATATGTATTTTTACTTTCAACATAAGGTATTTAGAGAACAAATTTAGCTTACTAAATTAAAAGAAACAATGTCTGTACTCACTTTGTTTTGAAAAAATAGTAGTAAAACGAGTACATGTAAACATAGATTGCAGTCGATGCAGCAGACAGGAAACTCGTCCATTGCCTGGGGAGAGGAAAAGAACTCCTGAATAAACTGCACCGAAGGAAGACTTTAAAGCAAAGAATTTTACACAAAACATTTTTTAAAACTTTGTATATTTAAAAACAAATGTTTGTATTTGGTGTTTAGATATACCACCTAGGAAACAACCTAAGACTGAAGAGAGATCCTGAATTTTGTCACTTTCTCTATAGTAAGTGACTTTAAATAAACCATTTCCTTTTTCACTTGTCATTCATTTAAAATGGAAAGATGCTTTCCACACTAAGCATCTTGCAAAAATATTCCAAACATTTCTAATAAAAATCTGATAGTTTTTCCTCAACCTTTATCTTTCTATAACTAAAACAAAAAGGCTGCTTAACTATCTTTTTTTCTTTTTGGCAGTATAGGAATTGAACCCAGGGCCTCACACTTATCATTAAGCTACATCTCCAGACCTTTACTCTAAGACAGTCTTGCCAAGTTGCCCAGGTTAGGTTTGAACTTGTGATTTTTCTGCCTCAGCCTCCTTAGTAGCTGGGATTACAGGCATATGCCATATAGCCTTGTTCAACATATTATTTTAAGCAGCAGAATTTCTAACTGTACCTTTTCCTTTGTTAGTAGACTCCACAGACAATCTTACTGTAAAGTTTATGGTACTGGCGGCTTTGCCCACAAGTAGCACTTACCACCTATAATCCTCTGCATTTAGCAGGAAGTATGTGCACACGATGGTCACGCAGACGGTCACAATGCACAGGATGACCAGCACCAACATCATGAAGCCATAGACATAATAGATCTTATATGCCCAGAAAGATGTGAAGATAAAATACCTAGACAATGCAATAAAGACAAAGGTTTCTAGCCTTCATTTTTGTTTTTTTAAATTCATTTGTTTTTTGAGATAGTGTTTCACCATACAGTTTAGGGTGGCCTCAAACTCATGGGAATAGTCCTGTCTCAGCCTTCTGAGTGCCAGGATTATAGGCATCTACTACTATGCCTGGCTCTAGTTTTCATTCTTGAACTCATTCTGCTTCCATATCTTAGTTCTCATCTTTAATCTCACAAATCACAATACTTTTTTTAAAGTAACTTCTAAGACTTTCTTTAACCCATTTCTCATTTATTAAATCCTCAAGAATTCTCTCAAAAATGTTGTCTTATATTTTTTCAAGAACAGATTCTCCATTAGGGTATTTATCTCTCACAAACTGAATAGAAGTTTGAAGGGGTAAAATACAGAAAAGACCAAGTGAAAATAACTAAAAATATGTATTTGTAGAATAAAGCAAATTTCTTAATTTTTTGTAGTTATTAGTAAGGCAATGTATCTTATACTTTGTAAAACATCCTACTAAGTAGAAACTAAGTTTAATAATAAACTGAATGATACATAAAATTACAGAGAAGAAAATAAAGCCTAAGGAAGGTTTACATTGTCTGAAGGACTGTAAGGGAAAGGGCAATAAGCTTTTTCCTTAAGTGAAAGACTTTAAATCCATTACCCAAATCATCACTAAATCTGAACAGGGCCATAGTCAGTCATTCTGTCTGTCTGCCTGTGTCCTCTTCTGTTTGTTAGCTTGATTATTCATCATTCATTCTTTGAACAAACATTACAAAGTTTCTATCACATACTAACCAGGAAAGCAGAAAACCAGCACTGTGAAGACCTTCAAAGAAGTACTGACTAGTGGGGTGTGGGGAGAGACAGTAAGACTCAGACAGGCACACTTCGGGTGGGGGACCCAGGAGGATGATCCAGACTCAGGAACAGCAAAAGCAAAGAGGTCTGTAAATAAAGGAATCAACCTGAAGAATTCAAAACAACCAGAGATTGAAATGAAGGGGCAAGAATTAGGAAAGACAGGATCATTTCCAGTATTATGAAGGCCATTCCTGGCCACGTCATGGGGTTGGGACTTTATGCTGATGAAAATGGGGTTGTTAACGAAGAAGTGACATGAGCAGACTGATAGGTTAAAAAATATCTCTTGGCTGCCAGGAGGAAAGTATCTTCAAGGGTATTTGTAAGAAGAGACTTCAAAGAAAGAGCTGCAAAGCTATCAAATGGAACAGAGTATCTGGGAAAACAGGAAGAGACATGATCCAAAGTACTGCAGACAGAAGTAGGAGGGAGAAAACAGCGAAGGGTCACGTCAGAGTCTCAGTCTGAAGTGCAAAAGTAGTTCCTATACTATCTCTATAAAACCACAAGTTAGAATGACACATATTCCCTGAAAGGGACCACCTAACACACACAGCACATTGATTTATGTCAGCTATATTGGCTAAAGCAGCCAGTGTTACGCTGGGTATGGTGGTTAATGCCTGTAAGCCTCAGGCACTCGGGGCTGAGGCAGGAGGATCGTTGCGAGTTTGAGATCAGCCTGGGCTACGAAGCGAGCTCAAAGCCAGCCTTAAGTACAGCCAGACCCTGTCTCAAAAAGACAAAAATAAATTTAAAACATTTTAAAAGTAGAGAATGTTGGATGTAGGTTCATAGGTTTCAGTCCACAGTGGCATGGCAGAAGAAATATGGTCACCTCATGCAGCCAGGAAGCAAAGTGGGGCAGGAGCAAGCTGTCAATTGGCCAGCCAGAGTCCCAGTATCCCTTTCAGAAGCATGTCCTCAGTGACTTAACTTCCTTCCAGTAGTCCTCACCTCTGAAGGTTTAACATCTCTCATTTTGGCTGGAGCCAAAATAAACTCTTCCTCCTTATTAGTAGATTTACCTTAGGTATTTGTCACAGTGACGGAAAGCTGACTTATACAGGCAATTAATTACTACATAAACCAGTGAGAGCAAAAAAGATATATGGCTCTTACAAAAAATATATTTCATATGCTGGAAAGATTCAACAAGGAGTCACTAAAAAAGAATAAAAGTTATAAAATTAAGTGCTAGATGGTTATAAAAGACTGAGATGAATGAATGAATCCAGAAGAATTTTGCATTAGAATGATTCAGATAGGTCTTTATGTTCATAATTTTCTTTTTACAAAGCTGGGACCAGGGATATAGCTTAGTGGCCCAAGTGTCTGCCTGGCAAGTGCCAGGTCGTGAGTTCACCCCTGGTACACACACAAAAGAAAGAAAGAGAGAGTGAGAGGAAGGAAGGAAGGAAGGAAGGAAGCAAAAAGCTAGGAAACATGGAGGTTTCAGTATGACTAGTAAAGGAAAATGGAAGATACTCCAACATGCAAAAAAAATATATATATATATGCATATATATTTTGTCTTTTTGAGACAGGGTCTCAGTATGTAGCTTAGGCTGGCCCTGAGCTCACTTTGTAGCCTAGGCTGGTTTTGAACTCACAACGATACTCCTGCCTCAGCCTCCTGAGTGCTGGGATTTCAGACGTGAGCCACCACACCCGGCATTGGTTCTGTATTTTAAAACATTTAAAAATCAGTGGATGGGGCCAGCAGTGACCATGCAGGGGTGGGAAGAGAAACAAGAAGCCAATTCCCATGACCCAGACAGTGGGTTGGCTGGCAGACAAGAAGAGTTCCCCAGCCCCCTAACAAGCAACCAGGCTCAGTTAATAGCAACTGAAGTACAAAACACCTTAATGCTTATATTGTTTGATTGACTTTGTAAGTCTAAAGCTGGTAGTCTGATCATTTATTTAGAAAATAACAATATGTAATATAGCAACTATGGGGGATTTCCTAATATCTTGTTTTTAAAATCCACTACTGTTCTCATTGTTTTGTCTTGTTTTATTTTATTGTTTGGTTTTCTTCAATGTTCTGTTTTGACTGGCTTTATTCTATTCTGTTTGACTTTATTATGTCTGATTCTAAAGATAACAAGAGGCATTATGGTAGCCACTGCTGATTTCCTATTATCCTGTGAAATCCTGAATCACCTTCAAGTGTTTTTTCTTTAAAGCTTCCTGAGCTTTATTTTGATTGGCTTCATTCTGTTTTATTCTGTTTGATTTTATTCTCCTTAAAATAAAGTTTTTAAAAAATCAGTGAATACTAATTTATTTTAAAGTAAATGCATGCTTTTTTAATACTTCTCTTAGATGAGCCAACCTTTTCAATTAACTAGTTATCAACCCAAAGATGTCTATTACAGAGGCTTCTACCATACAGGAGAGAATCAGGAGTGTGGCATCAGTAAATGTGTAAGGGTATTCACAGTTGTCACAAAGACTGGAACTTAGTGGAGAGGAGCTAGGGGTATACGAATGCAGTACCGTGTAAAGAACCACCTTGCCTAAAATAAATAGCATTCCTATTACAGAACACTGAGTTACAAGTAGCGGGGGAAAAAAAGATTAAATTTTGCAATGGTCATGAAAGATGCAGATATGAAGCATGTAAGTGGGCACACACATACACACTTCCCAGTAATTCTGCAGGCCTGTAAGGAAATAACATAGAAACATATAGGGTAACTAATAAATAATGATTTATCTAGTTCTTTGGATTCCTAGAAATATTCAAAAAATAATATGGCACATGTAATCAAAAACTGGTCTACAAATTTTCTGCCATGTATGCTTTGATTTCTTAGATCTGTAAGGTGAATATAACAAAAACTACATATACTTCACCTAAATATCTGAGAATAGGAAAGACAACCACTTTAGAGCTCACACAGATACTTTTTGGGAAGCTATGGAATTAATAAACCTACTCTGTTAGATGCTGCTATAATGTGAGTATAGACCAATTGTCCCCAAAGATCTAATGTAATTATAAGTCATGGTCACCAGGGTGGCACTGTTGGGTGGTGGTGGAATCTTTGGGATGTAGGGTCCGGGAGTTGGTCCTTATGTCACTTGGGTGTTAGCCCTGGAAGGGACTCTGGAATGCCAGTCTTGCTCTCTGACTTTCTGTTTGGTGATGTGAGATCTTTACACAAACACTCCCTTCATGATGTACCACCACCCACCATGTTTACCTGAGGCCAAATCAATGGACTTGCCTAATAATGCTCAATATCCAAAACAGCAAGCTTCGTTACCTACCTTTTTTATTATAGTGACACAAGGCTGACTACTATAGATACTTCATCTGATGACTATTATATTTATTTGTTACCAGTGATTGATCTCACGCTTGCCAGGCAGGTGCTTATGCCACCGAGCTATATCCCCAGCCCATCTGATGATTCCTTATTTACCCTAACTCCTAAATTATTTTATTACAATCAAATTTCAAGACAAAAATACATCATTAAAACTTACATTTCAATAAAGATTGAGCCAAACGGTAAAATTCCTCCTAGGCAAACAATAACAGCAGGCTCCATAAACCTGGAAAACATTAAAATTAATAGTCAACTCCTAATATGACCTTTAAATCCTATCATTCCTAATAGAAAGGTCATCTTTAAAAGGTAAATGTAAACCACTAAAAAGAAAAACCAAAATCCTGAGGCACAACACACAGGTATGGAGCTTCAAATCGGCTACAGATTATACTCAATATTCTTACCAGCATTAAAGCATAAATTACTGCTACTGGCACAACTCAAGATTCAAGTATTCACTCCTACTATCTCTCAATAACTTCTAAGAACGCTATAGGTATTTACTTACACAAAAACAAAGGGAAGAAATTAAATCTTGAGACTATCATTTGAAAGGTTTCCTAAATTGTGGCTTTGCTATTTTTCTGTCCACTCTCCCTGGCTCTGTGATTCCCTTTCCAGTGAATCAGACAAGGTATAATGAGGTCTGCTTTACATGGGGGCCAAAGAAAGAATAAAAGTAAAACCCAAACTGCAACTATTCAGTAACAAACTGGCTGCACTCGGTCGTTCTCTACCTGGTTGGTGCCTTCTCTTACACTTCTCTTCTAGCAAACACTGGCTCAAGTGTTTTTTCTTTAAAGCTTCCTGAGCTTCTCAGGAAGAGGTGGCTCTTTGGCCTATTCTTCCCCTGCCTCTGAGTAGAACTTCACTGCAGCACTCAGTGCACTGCATTGTTACTATCTAATTAGCAACACTACATTTTCTAGGTTATAAAGGCTGGCAGGTAGAAGCTCTTCACCTGGGTATTCCCAGTACCTCTGCACAGCATACTAAACTACAATGGTTAACAAACTAAAATACTAAGAAGAAAAGTTTTTTTAAAAACTGAGAGCTGAAAAAACTTAAAAACCATTTAATCTAGTTCTTTTTCTTTTACCAGATGCCAAGACCCAGAGGTTAAAAATGATCCACCCAATGTCACATGTCACTAAAAGGCAGATCTAGTATTCAGATTCTGGTTCCCATGTGATTTTTTAAATGAAGATACACAAGAGTCTTTAAACAGCTGAATGTGACCCATCACTGATGAGAATGGTATTGTTCATGTCTCTCCTTTATTACTCCTACCTGGCGACTAAAAGAAACATTTGTTATTTTTGATTATGCTTTTTTGTTAATATTATCCTTCCCAGTAATGAGACAAAACATCGGGCTAATACTAAAAGTCTGATGCTGACTTAGAAAAAAAGGTAGTTGAAAAAAGGTTAAAAAAATTTCCAGCCAAAACCTCTCTTAAGCACCAATCTAAGAACAGGAAAAAAAAAAAAAAAAAAAAAAAAAAAAGGGCCAGGGCCAGGGATTTAGCTCAGTGGCTCAAGCACTTGCCTGGTAAGCGTGAGGCTGTGAGTTCAATTCCCAGTACCAAAATAATAATAATAATAATAGGACCAATTTCTTTTGTAGAACGTATGTTCCACTGCAGACAGTAGAACATATGACTGTCCGCTAAACCATTTCATGGTATAAGGATTAAACTCAGGGTCTTCACACTAAGCTACATCTTCAGTTCTTTTTTTTTTTTTTTTGAGATACAGTCTCACTAAGTTGCCCAAGCTGGGATCAAACTTGTAATCCTCCTGCCTCAGCCTCCCAGAATGGTAGAACTACAGGTATGCACCACCCATGTCTGGCTTAGGGACTAATTCAGTCAACCTTTAGTTTTATACATGTCTTTATGCCTTCATATTTAGTAAAGAAAAAGAATAATCCTTACCTATTTATGTAACTGCTAGAATGTATGCTGCATTTATAACGTAGTAAAATATCTTAAGTGTATGTGCCGTATGTATTTTTTATAAATATAGCCTATTCGGCTATTCTTAAGAGACGACAAATGTAACAAACATATAATAAGATTGTTCTGTTTTTCTCTGTTATTAAGAACTATGGAAACAAAAACTAGGAAAATAAAAGCAGAATAGCATAAATCAGCACAAAATTCAATGTTCTAATTTCATTAGGGAGGGATTTGGGGTCTTTTTTGAAAAATTGGTTAGTACATGTTTGCAGTACATAATGATTATGGAAAAGAGTTACTACATGTACATCCCATATCTTAATTCTTTTCTGGCCCCTACCCACCCCATTCCTCCCCGTTCCTTGCAATTCTTGGTCCATTTACATATGCAAAACAATTATTTCTACTTTTTTGAAATTATCTTTTATTTTGTTCTTCGCTTCGGATCTCACTGTAAGAGAAATCATGCAATAAAGTTTCTGTGTCTGCTTTACTTCATTTAATGTTATGACCTCAAGGTGTCTATGAATGCCTAAATTGTTCTTTACGGCAAAATAGTACTCCATAGTGTGTAAATGCCACATTTTCTTTATCCATTCGTCTGCTGATTAATACATAGGTTGTTTCCAAGACTTAGCTATTATAAATTGTGCTACTATAAACATAGATATGCCTGCATCACTATAATAGGATGATTTTAAATCTTTTGGGACCATACCTAGAAGGGAAATAGCTACATCAAATGGCATTTCTGTTCCCAGTTTTTTGAAGCATCTCTATAAATGTTCATAGTGGTTGTACTAGTTTACATTCCCACCAATGCGGCAGAGGGGTCCTCCTTCCCCACAGCTTCTCCAGCACTTATTATTTGATTTCTTGATGACTGCCATTCTTTCTGGAGTAAGACAGTATCACAGTTATTTTAAATTGCATTTAAAATGCTGATTCTTTTTCCATGTATTTAAAGATGTTAATCCTCTGTCCAAAGACTTCCTGGTCAAAAAAAAGTTTTCCCATTCTGTAGGCTGTCTCTTCACTCCGTTGTTCACTGTGTGGAGGCTTTTTAACTTGATAAGATCCTATCTGTCGATGCTTGCTGCTATTTCTTGCTCCACTGGGGTTCTGTTCAGAAGTCCTTACCTGGGCATGTCCCTTCAAGAGGCATTTTATCTTCCAGCACACTGTTTGTGTTTTAACATTTAAATCTTTTATCTATTTTGATTTTAGTTTAGTACATGGTGAGATCTAAGGGTCTAAACTCAATCTGCATGTGGATATCCAATTTCCCCAGCACCATTTATAAAAGAGGCTTTCTTCTCTCCAGTGTGTATTTTTGGTCCCTTTGTCAGACATCAAACAGCTGAATGTGTTTGGAGTTGTTTCTGCTCCCTTTATTCTATTAAATTAATCCACATGTCTGTTTCTGTGCTGGTACCATACTGTTTTTATCACTCTATTTTTGTAATGTAACTTCAAACATGGTATTATAATTTCTCCTGCTTTGCTTTTGTTACCTAGAATTGCTTTTGTTATTTCAGGTCTCTTCTGGTTCCACATGAATTTTAAGACTTTTCTCTAGACCTGAGAGGGATGATGTTGGTGTTTTGATTGGAACTGCTCAAATCTATATATCAGTTTTGGAAGTATGTCCATTTTGACTGTATTGGTTTTACCTACTCAGGAGCGTGGACTAACTTTCTATTTCCTGATATCCTCTTTGATCTCATTTTTCAGAGTGATACAGTTTTCATTATAGAGGTCTTTCATTTCTTTGGTTAGGTTAATTCTTGCTAAATATTTAACTTTTCCTGATTTTATTGTGAATGGTAATTGTTCTCTTTAATTTCTTTCTCACTGAGTTCATTATTAAGTGTGTAAGAACAATATTGATTTTTGTGTGTTAAATTTTGCTTCCCATATTGATTCTAGGCCTTTTGTTAGTATGTTTTAGATCTTGTAAGTAGAGGATCATGTCACCTTCATCCTCTCCTGTATATATCTCTTCTCTTCTCTTTTTTCTTTCTTTTCTTTCTCTTGCCTGATTGCTCTGGTTAATTTTTCAAAATATGTTGAACAGGAATGGAGATAGTGGACTTCCTTCTCTTATTCCTGATCTTAGAATGAACACTTCCATCTTCCCTCATTTAATATGACGTCAGCATTAGGTTTGTCATAAGTGTTTTATCAGACTGAAATAAGGTCCTTCCATACCTATTTTTATCACAGCTTTTTAAAAATCATGAGTGGATGTTGGATTTTGTCAAAGGCTTTCTCCACATCTATTTAAATGATTACATGATTTTTGTCCTTGCTTCTGTTTATGTATGGATATATTTATTGATCTGTGTATGCTGAACCAACCTTCCCTGTGATGCCTACTTCATCATGTTGTATGATCCTTTTGGTGATTTTTTTGTATTCAGTTTACCATTGTCTTGTTGAGGACTTTTGCACCTATATTCATTACAGTCTGGCCAGTAGTTTCCTTTTCTCTCTGGACACTTAGCTGTTTTTAGAACAGGGTACTTAATGTTAAGATTCCAAGAATGACCTTGGAAGTACTCCTTCCCTTTCAATTTCATTAGTTTGAAGAGTACTGACATGAGATCTTCCCAGGTCCTGGGCTTTTTATTAGTTCATAAATTATTATTGCTTCAATTTCAATCCCCATTATGGATTATTCAGGATTTTTAAAGCTCTTTGCTTCAGTCGGTAATTTGCATGTATCTAGGAATCTCTCCATTTTTTCTGTATTCTGCAATTTTTAGGTGTATAGGTTTATGAAGTCGTAACTAATCATCTGGATTTTAGTAGTATCCACTGTGATTGTAACTTTTGTTTCTAATGACATTGATTTGTGACTTTTTTTTTAAAGTAAGTGTGGCTAATGGTTATCTGTTTAGTTTTTCAAAGAACTAGTTGTTGGTTTTATTGATTCTATTTTTTTAAGTCTCCATTTCATTGATTTCTGCTCTGATCTTTATAGTTCTCGTTATACTAACTCTAGATTTGGATTATTTTTCTTTTCCTAGGATCTTGAAATCCATTAATAGGTTATTTATTTGGGCTGACTTTGTTTTTCTGATTTGGGCAAACATAGCTATAAACGTCCCTCTTAGGACTTCTTCCATTGTGTCCCATAAGTTCTGGCACGTTATACTGGAATTATCATTTAATTCTAGGAATTATCTTATTTTTTTCTTCATTTCTTCCGTGGCCCTTTCATTGTTTAAGAGTGTGTTAATTTTCATCCGTCTGTATAATTTCTGTGATACCTTTGCCACTGATTTCTAATTTTACTGCACTATGATCTGGTAATATGTATGGTAAAATTTTGATTCTTTTGCATTTACCAAAATATAGTTTTCTGGCCAGTATGTGATCTATTTTTTGTTGCCAAAAAAATGTGTATTCTGTTGCTGTTTTGTAGAACCCTCTGTAATATATCTACGAAGTCCATTTGTTCAAAGTTTGGTTCAACTCTGACATTTTGTTTACTTATCTATTTGTGACAGTGGCTTATTAAGGCCCACTATAACCGTATTGATGTTTATGTTCAGTAGTGTTTGTTTTATGGAGCTGGGTATATACCACTGTCTGGAGCATATGTTTATAAATTGTTATCTCTTCCTACAGAATTATTCCCTTAACCCATATTTAGAGTCCTTTTTTGACTCTCCTGATCAATTCAGGCTAACAGCCCACTTTGTTTGAAAACAGGATAGCATCTCCTATTTGTTTTTGGGTCACCATTGCATGAATACTGTTTTCCATCCTTTGATTTTTTAATTTATAAAATGTTATGTACAAAAAATAGGCAGGTCAAAAAGACATAATAAAGTCCTTCCAGCTTTACCTCTCCTATACCTCTCTGCATGCTATTATGCTTACTAAAGCATTGAACTTACCTTTAAAAATCATGAATATTTAGAAAATGAAATAGGGTATAACATTATTACTCCTAACAAGGTAGATGGTTAGAAAAATTAAAATGAACAAATTCTTAACCCCAAAGTTAAGACAGTCATTCTCATAAATACATGCCAGTTCTAAATTTGGTATGTATACAATAGCCTTAAGAATGCATATACTGTAAGAAACAATCACATAAACTGCAGCATTCTCTTTACCATTTTTTCTCCGGAATAGGACGAGGCACAGCATTGACACGGCAAGGGAAGTTGGGCTGACCTGACAGATTTCGGCCAAGTATTGTACCAACAAGATTTAGAGGAAGAATAACAAAAAAACAGATGCAACAAACAGCCACCTGCGAGTTAAATAAAAACTTGTGTAATTACTCAGAGGATATAATACTAATAAAAAACAAATAAAAGACACTTAAAATTTGAACACAATTTGATCACCAAAACATGTTAAGTTCGACAAGGGCTAAAATTGCATATAATAATAGGGAAAATATTAGAACTGAATGAACATAAACAAAACTGTTTCTTCCCTTTTTTTTCTTCTCCAAACTGTCTATTTTACTGTCCATTAATGGATGTTTATTCTCTTCTTTTTCTGCCAGCTTTTAACATTTCTACTCTTTATCTTTCATCATTATAACCAACCTATGTGTCTGTTTTATTTTGCTCCTAATTATACACATAATTTCCCTAGTTTACATGTGAAGCAAATGAGACTCTTAGAGGTCAGGTAGTTTTCCACGGTCACGTGGCTGGCACGTAGTCTGACTAAAATTTCAAAAGAGATCTGCCAGCCTCCAAGCCTAAGATCCTTTCTAGTCTACACTTCTTAGAACTCTAACAAAAGTAGCTTATCTCATTCTAAGCATAGATGTGTCATTACTTATATTTAAAAACTGTACAGAAGGCCATACAGAGATCCTAGAATCAAAGTAAACAATTAGAAAATCATTTTTGTGGTTTTTATTAAATCTGGTATGAAGAGACATACAAACTCTTTTCTGATCAGAATCTAGTTAAGATCACTCTGAATTTTAAAATGAATTTGAAATACCTCTAAAAGTTCAGTTATACTTTGGGATTCTAATTTTTAGAAAAGGTGAAGGAAAATTGAAAAAATTAAGAGAAATGAAAACATACAGGGTAAAACAAGCAATCCACAGTGATCAAAGGGTAAAATTTCTTTTAAGACAGCATTAGTAAAAACTCTCATACATCTATGTGTGTGTAAATAAGCCAAAGAATAATTGTTATCTTCCTTTCAGATAAAACAAACATAAGCGTCTGAGGTAAAAGAGCTCTAATACTCCCAATTTAAAGGTTGGCATTCGGAACTCCCCGTTTCAACATAAGAATGCAAATTTTATACTCTCATTAACAAGTGTGTGAAAGGTGAAAAACACGTGATTTTTAACATGTTTTAAATATTATAATTGTACATACATCTCATATCTATGTAGGGGGTAAATTTTATCTTAATTTTTGCATTTGATTTCCTTGTTACTTAATACATTACTATAAACCTTCCTACTTGTTACTTAACACTTCACTATTAATCTTAACACACTAACAAAGACCCTTGCATTTTCCCTTTAATTTACCAAAACTTTAATTTCAAATGAGAATTAAAGAGAAAGTGAAGTTAACATTCCTAGGTGGAATAAGACAGTCTAGCAGAAAGGCTTTCAAAGTGCTCCATGTAACTTTCAGATCCCAGAGCTTCAAGAATTTTACAAGCATTTACAACAAAAAAAGCTTTTTAAAAATTCTAACTGTAATTAAAAATTTTTAAAACTGAATGAGTTCTACACCAAATTTTAATATAAGAGATATCTTTGCCAGACTGACTCATTTTCAAACAAACCATACAATGTTTTTCCAGCTATCACTGTGTATATATTTTAAACTTCTGGCAAATGTCGCTGACTAGAAAAGTTGGCTTTTTGTTCTTCCTTCCATCTACCATCTCAATTAGACTGGATATACTTTCTTATCAAAGTTGAACAAGCAAAAGTCCTATAGATAAGCAAGGGTACAGCTAGCTTTCTGTGCACATTTCACACAAGAATCAATAAAATAACTTATCAACAGTTTCATGAAGATACTACTCACTGTTTAGCATTTGTTTTTCCTTTGTAAAACTATATGATTTTAAAATGTGAGTAGTTTGTTAAGAATTATAGTGATTAAACTGTGAAACCAATTACCTACTCCTTTATGTTCCAAGTTTAGATAGATTTACTTAAAGAATTCCTTGAGACTGAAAAGAAAGGTTTTTTAAAAATAAAATCACAGTCACAATTTTCCTCAATACAGACATTCAACTGAAGAAAATGGCAGGTGAAGATACGTCTGACCTGTGATTTATAATCCTTAGTACTAGATTTGTATTCATCAAAATTGTATTGCTCTCATTAAATTCAAAATGAGATACGAGATTTGCAAACTATATTTATACAGAACCATATTTATATCTGTCTTCTACACTGAGGTTCCACATTCAGGTTTCATTTTCAGAACTTTTTTTTGGAACCGGGGATTGAACTCATGACTTCATGCTTGTGGGGCAGGCACTTATGCTACTGAGCTAAACCCCAGCCCCTCAGGTTTCATTTAAAAATGAAATTTACCAACTACAAGTTTCAAAAGTCATTGGTCTAATACACCAGTGAAATCTCGGAACTCAAACCAATAGCTGGCCCTTTTGTCACAATTCATGGACAGAAGGAGAATGAAGGCTGGCAGTGAGGAGAGGAAAGACTTATTCCACGTGGAGGGTTGCCCCATTTACAAAACTAATGAGTTAGAAACCAATACTGCATATACCCCACAGATCTATCAGCCAGTCAATTCTTCTCAATTGCAGTCTAAAACCAAAAGTACAGCTATCACTTATTTTTGTTTTCTTCCAGACTGGTCTTTTAGGAATCTGTGGTGTGAATGGCTTGGAAAAGAAAATGACAGCCTAAGATGTATGACTTTGGGTTGCTAAAGAAGAATATTTTATCTAAAGGTGATACTTTAACTGCTTGTGGGTAAGATGATTCTCAAAAAACATCATTTTTGTCAGCCAATATATTTAAGTATTTCCTCAACACCTGTTCACATTACATGACTTCTACCACTCCTTTGCTAACTCATAAATTGTATGACTCTAGGTCTCTATATAAATTTAGCCTTTATTCAAGCATTTCAATCTCTAGATCCACTAATAACCAGGACATCACCAACTCAAACTCATTACCACCAAAAAGCCATCTATCATATCCAGAGATTTTCATCATGGTAATATATAACTGAGCATTCAGTGTCTTGATAAACACTAGATCTGAAGTGAAAAATCTGCTCTACAAAGTCAGTCTTAACAGAAAAAACACATATAAGAAAACTAGAGCAATATTTCTCATGAATATAGATGAAAAATATAACAAATTTTATCAAGAAGAATCTAATTATATATAAAACAGACACTATATCATGACAAATAGAGGTTTATCAAAGGAATGTAAGATTGTTTTAAAATTAGAAAATAATCAGTGCTATTCATCACTATTTCAAGAGATGCCAAAAATGTCAGGTGTGATGTCACAGGACTACATAGTGAGCCTGAACTATATAATGAGACCCTATCTCAAAAGAGAGAGAGGGCTGGGTGTGGTGGTGTACTCGTGTTGCCAGTTCGAGGTCAGTCTGGATTATAAAGTGAGCTCAAAGCCAGGCAGAACTGCATAGTGAAACTCTAGCTCAAAAAAACAAAAAGAAAAAGAGAAAGAGACAGACAGACAGACAGAGGCCAAAAAAAAAAAAAACCCAACTTCAGAAAAATCCAACTTCCATTCCCAACAAAAATTCTCAGCAAACTACAAATGGAAGGAAACTTTATCAACTTGATAAAGGTTTTTTAACCAAAAAAAAAACCTACAGCTAACATCTTACTTTAAAGAGCAAGACCAAACACTTCTTCCCCAAACTGGTCTGCTCCCATCACTGCTACTTATAAAAGACTGATGGAAAGGAAAAGGGAAAGGGAAAACAAAAGGATAGGGAAAGAAGGGCAGAGGAGGGAGTAAGACAGGATATTGGTTAGCAAAAGGAAAACTTTTCTTCACAGGAATTTTGATTATGTAAAAAACTAAAATAAAGCAACTAAGACTAAGTGAACTCAGCAAGGTTACAAAAATATAAAACTAATATTCAAAAACTATTTTTATATGCTGGCAATATTTTATCAGATTCTGAAATTTAAGATACTATTTATAAACATCATAAAAAACATAAAACACTTGGGGATAAATTCAACAGAAGAAATAAAACACTGAAATCTTAAGACTAACATTTACAAGATGCTGCTTAAAACAAAGATAGCTAAGGAGGTTGAAACATATAGTACTGCATTCACAAAGCAAGACTCAATATTAAGATGACAATTCTTCCTAACTTGAGGTATAGATTTGACAATCCAAATCAAAATTCCAGCTGGTTTCTTGTAGAAATCGATAGGCTAATTCTGAACTTTATATAGATATGCAAGGAATACAAAAAAGCCTTTTTTTTTTTAAAAGCAAAATGACATTGAAAAAGAACTGATTTCAAGATTTATAGAGCAATGATAATCAAAACAGCACTGGCATAAAAATAAAACAATGTGACCAGTGAACCACCACAGAAAACCCAGAAGTGAATCTATATATAATTAACCAGTAATTGGTGCTAAAAGTGCTAAGGCAACTCAACTGATAAAGAATAATCTTTCTAATAAATGTGCTAAATGTTACAGTCATAAGGAAAATAAAACTTTTAACTCTTAATTCATAAATTAATTTATTAAATTAACAAAAAATGGATCACAGACCTAAATGCACAAGCAAGAAACTACAAAACTTGTAGAAGACTGCACACAAGGAAAATTTGGTGATCTCTGCTTTGGCAGGACTTCTTAACTACGACAGAAAAAGCACAAGCTAGAAAAGAGGACATACATCAAATGGCCTTCCAACTTTAGTATATTTGCCCTTCAAAAGAAACTTAATAAAATTAAATCACAAACCACAAAATATACTTGCAAAATAATTATAAGATTAAAGACTTGTATTTACTATATATATATATATATATATATATATATATATTAAAAACTCCACTGATTGAGAAGATAAACTATCAAAAAAATGGGTGAGAGATTTAAACAGTCCACTGACAGCAAATATACAAACCAAAAGATCTAAAACAAACTGATTAGTAACTGAGGAAATGAAAACCATGAGCCAACACTACACACTCACTAGAATGGCTTTAATTAAAAAAAAGACTGACTATATTAAATGCTGGCATTGATGCAGAACAACCAAAACTCTCATAAAACACTGGTGGAAATGAAAAGTCACAAAACTACTTTGGAAAAGGTAGGCAGATTTATTGAAAGGTTAAACTGCATATGACTCCACCACTACATTCCTAATAATTTATCTAAGAGACATGGAAACATGTCTTGATTTGTAAGTAGTGAAAACCATAAAAAAATCTAATTGTGTATTACTGGGTAAATGGAAAAATTAATATAATATGCACATGTAATGAACATAACAGTAACACCTCTGGAAATAATTTTTGAATGAAAAAGACGAAACACCCATTTAAATGAAGTTCTAGTTAATGATGGCACATCTTTTAGATGGCACACTTTTTAGATGCAAATTGCAACCAAAACCCCACTTATTTATTGCAAAGTCCCAACACTGCAATTAAATCTGAATATTGAGGTTCTTAGTTTACAAAACAAACTCATACATTTTTTGTTCTAAAAGTAAAACAAATAACACATGTGCCATAGGTTTGCCACTACTGTACCAGGTAATGCAAGCTAAGCTAGTAAGAGAGAGCAGGCTAATAGGGGATGGGGGAAGGAGAAGAAAGGGATAAATTACAAAGGTGATAGAAAATTTCTTCCTTTCCCTCACTGTGCATGATAGTTTCATAAATGTGTGCAGTGTTAAAACTCAACAAATGGTATACTTTATATATGCAATTTATCATGTTAACATGTAGCTCAAAATAGCTACAAAAACATCCAAAAAGAAAAGGAAAAAAATCACTGTCCAGGGGCTGCCGACTGCTCTCATAATTAAAATAGGATTCCTTTTATAAAAGGGAAAAACAGAAAAAAATGTAGACTTTACCAAAAGTCCCCAACGAAGGAAAAGAACCCATCTTCACAACCACAACAACAAAGAAAACATGATTTTGAGGTGATCACTGTCTAGAAGTCTTTTGGTTTTTTTTTGTCCTGTAAGACAGGTATAACCCATATATCTAGCGCTACCTCTGAGTTCTTTTGAAAACTAGACAAGTGCAATAATGAGTACAAAAACGCTCTGCAAAATACAAAATATGTTACAAATATGATTATTTATTATAATTCATCTTCCAACATCTGGCACATCGTTTCAGTCAGCTAGGGTATTTTTAGATGTTGTTTTCAGCATTCCATGTTACCAGTTTCCTCCCTGGTCTCAACTTCTCTTTCAACTTACTCAGCAGATCACTAAATCTTTATCCAAGTTATTAATAATCCTTTAGTAGGTCAGAGTCAAGAATATATATCATATTCTGCTAAAGGATAGTGTATGATATACTATGGTTAATACCCCAATATTGGGCAGGGAATACAGCTCAGTGGCACAGCAACTGCCTGGCAAGCATGAGGCCATGGGTTCGTTCCCCAGTATCACTAAAAAAAAAAACAAAAAAACCCCCAGAAATACCCCAATATTCTATAACTGGTATTTTGGCCACTTTTTCCTATCTTGACCAGTAAGACAGACACTTTTATATTCTTTGTTTTTCTACTAACACCTACTGAAAAGAATAAAGTTAATCGAGCATTTTTGCTTTAATCCCTATTGGCTTCCAATGGCAATTATTTGTATTTTATAAATAAATTTTAATAACCCATTATAAAATCTTACTTTGTCAACATCAACTTCATTACATTTTGAAAAGCAGAATCCACTTACTTTTGCTTCCTCCCAAAATGGTACGTTTACCTGTGTCCAATTTGGTAACACTTCTCTGCCTTACAGAGACACCCCAACATTATCAATGAGCTCTTTATCTCTAAATGGTTACTTATATGTTCAAAGCCACGTGCACCTAAAGTAGCTGACTCCTCTCTGACAATTAACAACTGCCTGACCTAGCTTAGATTTCATTTCCTTCTTATCAAGAGAATTTTTGCTCTTACTTTCAAACAAAGGTTATTTTATTTGAAGAAAAACCCAAAGAGGAAGAATAAGATGAACCCATTGTTCTTTCATTGCTATCTTGCTGAGCCTACGTGATGAGCCTTTACTAAAGAAAATCATTACAAAATTATCTTGTTTGCTGTAACATTTGTCAGCTTAGATAATGGGTTTTCCAAATACTATTTTGATCTTTATTATTCCTTCATGCTTGAGAATTCTGTATTATTCTGATCACCCATGAGATATATTGCTTTGTAATCTTTACCACAAAGTAGTACCTATCCATTAATCTTAGTACCCATTTTTCACTGTAGTTAGGTTCTGAACACACATCATGAATTTCATTTTTGAGAATCTCTTATTCTTAAATCATTTTCCCAGTTATAGCTCAAAACTTGGATCATGAGACAGCATTTCCCTCAGTATCTGTGAAATACGATTTTTAAGCCTATGGCATGTTTATGATTCTGGACAAATTTCCATCCTATGCTAAAACAGATTTTAAGGTGATAAATAGACCACCTTTATTAGTTTTCCTTTATTAATTTCTACTCATTAAAAGGCAAAATCATAAAGAAATTTAAGTAAAAAATTTATGATTACATGCTGAGTATTGTTTTGAGTAGAAAAGTGTTTAGTTGTCATGCTACCCTGACTGTGTGAACTATAAAACTCAACTTGGTTCTTTGTCCTTTGAAAGCTTACATCATATGAAGGATCTAAGATTTACAGCTTACAAAAGACTTCATGCTGAAAATTCTTTCTCAGAACATTCTGGCAAATCCATTCTCATCCCCAAGTGACTCTCATAGGACCAAACCCTCAGAGCACTAATACCTAAATCACCATTGGGCAAATCTGCAAAAGAAAAGGTCCTTCTTACTTTCCCAAAACTACTTTAATTTCAAGTGTTGTTTCTCTCATTCTCTAGTTATCTCTGCTAGAACACTCCAACTTCAGCAGAGACTTATATACCTTTGGACAGTCTGATTCACTTTTTATCTAAATGCTCTCTTGCCTATCTAAGTGGTCCTGAATCTAGGCACCATCATGTATTGAACATAGGACACTAGATACTAGTTCCGAATATCATTGCCAAACTCCATCAGTGGTTATCTTTTATTATTGAATGTTTAATGTGACATGGATTTAGTGACCTTTCTAAGTTTAATGATCTAATATATAATTGTGTATGTCTGAGCAAAGAAGTTAGAATCCAAAGACAAATCTCATCCACTTTTTGCTATGCTTGAACACACTATGTAATCCAGATGAGACCTACATGGTAACTCCCTACGTCAGACTCCTCAGTGCTGGGACAACAGGTGTGTGCCACCATGTCCAGTAGTCTATTCACTTTTAATCTTATTTCAGACTAGTCCTGTAACGCTAGCAATATTGTAACTGAACTCCGTGTCAAAAGTGGAGAAAATCTTTATTTTTCTCGTGTCTAGAGAAGAAATCAAAAGCGTAAGTCACTATGATTATATTAAAGCATTTTTTTTCCAATCCAAATGCAATTAATTACTTTACCCTTTCCTAATCATTATCATTTCCTTTGGCTTAAAAAGAAATTCATTTTTGAAGCAAGTTTCAAAATATTCCCAACTCCTACTAACTGAACAGTATTAATGATTTAGTAGAAATGTATATTCAAAATATCTTGGGGGAAAAAATATGCCTTGGAAAAAATGTAGACTGTATAAAACAACCAAATTTCTGTGGAATTTCTGTGAAACCATGTGATAACTTCTAGATAACAAAAATTCACAAGAAGATATGATTGCAGTTCTAAGCTACCTATATAACTTTAATTTGCCTCTTACTAGTAATAACCACCATGCAATCTGCATATATGTACATACATATGTACACAAGGATACATTAAGACTGAAGTCTATTCTGGGTCTAAAATTCTGTTTCTAGCAAAAAACAGCAGGAAGAATTAGAAGAGTATGTAGTATACCATTACATCTTATTCTAATTTTCATGTATTTCAACAATCCAAAACATTTCAAAGCCTATGATTACAACTAAAATATATAAAAGGATTTTAGTATCTATAGCAATATTATTAATTAGCATAAATGCTGAATGGAATTCTAAAAACTGCATGTTAATTTGAAAATGTGTTATACAACTTTTACTTCCTACTACTCTACTCACCTAACACCTTAAAAACTCATGTTTCTTGGTATGTCACTATTCTTTCTGTAAAATTTAGTTCACCATTTTCAAAGCTATAGTACTTTATTTTGTCACACTTAAGGTCAATTTCTCACTTTCCTGACTTACAGAATCAGCAAGGGGGAGCAATTATAGGTTTAAATGTAACTAACCTTATGGAGGTCAATAACAGTTTTTTCCTCACCTAACTTTCCAGGACTGATTAAGCATTTGCTGAAACCATCAAAACACCCAATTAGAGGAGTACTCTGGAGAGAGTAGGCCTCATATTAGAATGTTTACACAGATTCAGTTTATAAGCAAGATTGAAGCAACTTACCATTGTTCCAAAAGGTATAGCTCTTGAAGCATGGTAGTAAATGGCTATAAAATTGATGAAGAAGGCAGTGCCGCATACCATGGCTGGAATAAGAAATGCTCCAATAAACATTTGCTTTATCCATCTCCTTCCTGAAAGAGAAGGAAAAGTATAAAACCAAAGCCAGACAAAGATGTTTTGATGTTTAAAATATAAGTATCTATCATATAATTTATTTTAAATTTTAACACAAAGAACATAAAGTATAATTTCTGAAACTATTCCAAACCAATAGCTAATAAAGACCTGTCCAGCTTTTCGAATATCTGAAATGGAAATAGCTTTTGAGGTAGATTACTGCAAAAAAACAATAACCTGTCGTAAAATATTTTCGTCCTGATTCTGCAATTCAACTGCAGTGAATTTTGAAATGCCACTCTCTCTGGGCTATCAACTGGCCGTATCAGAGTTTTCAAACTATTACCTAGAGTTCTAAAACCTTTGACATGCCCCTGAGGTCAAGTGATAAAAATCTCAGGTCTCCTTGGTCTGCTCAACCATAACAAGTCTGCTTTTGACAGTTTTACATGCTGGAATTTCGTGTAAGCTTACATGTGAAAAAGGATTATACTGCTTAAAATTTTTTTGTTTTGTTTTGTTTTTAATCTTTGGGTGAGGTGATTTCAAAAATAACTATGTATTTAGAAGCATTTCTGTGTTTGAAAGAAAAAACAACAGAGAATGTGTAAGATGACTCTCAGGAATCAGAACTGTAAAGAATTGTTTGTACCTCTACATAGTCAAATTCTTAAAGCATCTATTATTCAACTAACCAAAGGACGACATATTTAACTGTATTGTAAAAATTTTAAAATCACATTCATATCTAAACTAATATATCTAATATAGCAGAGTATACAAGCAAGTGCACTGCTGCTGGAAAAAACATCTTCACATAGCTTAGGAACAGAATGCAAATATTTAAAATTAGATTATTAAAATTCAATCCCACAATCATAAGTAATAGGGCCCAAATAGAAAATTCTACAGGAAAAACTTCTATCATAGTACCCAAACTTTTGCTTTCCTCTAAATAAAGTTCTAACCCTTTCAATTCTAGTATCCAGCATTGGAATATCCAGTTCCCCACACACTTAAAAGTTGGGCTTACAGCAGTGAGACCTTGACTTCTACCACAGTTCAAATTCTAACATTAAAATTTTTCATTCCCTGGATCGCTCTTTACATCTTTGGTTTGTACTGATTTTCCAGGACTATTCAGACAAATTATTAGGACATGATCAGACTTTCGCAGTGATCTATCAATCAGAATACAATCTTTTTTTTTTTTCCTTCCTTTTTCATTGGTACCAGGGATCGAACTCACGACTGCCTGCTTGCAAGGCAGGCGCATATGCCACTGAGCTAAATCCCCAGCCCCCAGAATACAATCTTTATACTTGGGGAAATTTGACAATCCTACACCTAAGCTTGAACTCCCAGTTTTCAAGAATACAGAAAAAGAAAGTGGGTTGGATATTCTTAATTTGCAATTGAGCTAAAAGTAAATTTATGTTCAAGTATGAATACATTTCCTATTTTAAATAAATTTGTGCTACAGAGACTTTTTTTGGAAGTCACTTTTGGCCTAACTAGTTTTCTGGTCAAATTCAAAGCACTAATTACCTAATGTATCCTTATCTCCTTAGATGAAGCCCTATATGCCTGGACTTGTTTCCCATATCTGGAGGTAGAATTTAGAGACTGAATATCTAACTCAAATAGTCAGAAATCCATAAGCAATTCATAGAACTAGCTAAATAGAAGGTATTGACTACTAAGTCTAGTAGGACTGCTGAAAACAGCAAATAGGACATCCTGAGTGAATTATAAAGGATCGTATACTATGACATAATCCATCAGTCTCTCTAGCCTAGTAATACCAATATTGCTTAAGATAGGCAGTGAAAAATCACATTTTGGAAGTGTCTATCTTGGGAATATAATTTTAAAACCTTTCAACAACTACTCATAAGCTAAAATATGCAAATATGCTATTTTCAGTATTTTTCTGACCCCAGATTATTACAGGGAAAACAAAAGAACTTTAAGATCCCTGAATGTCATCACAGTATTATCTACATATTATCTACATATTATCTACATATTATCACCATTTCCAGATCAAACAGTAAAGGAACAAGAAGGTATTTAAGATAAAGTACTCTCAGCAAGAGATTATAACACAGAACGACAGAAATTCATGTAAAGGTTCCTTTGATAAATATTTAAGAGAACAGAAACAGTTCTCCTTCTTACTCTCCTTTCACTGATCAGAAGTTTTATCATATACCATTCAGCATGTTTCTGTATTTGCCTGTAATGCTGCTAGGCTCTATGTGGAGTCCTTGCATAGAGCACATCTAGGAATCTGCTAACTCAAAAGCACTGTAATTCAAACAAATACATCTCATACATGTTCCTCAAGTCTAATTTCACAATGGAGATGATCTGTTGATTATTCATAACTTTAGGAAGTAAAATGCAAGGATTCTATAACAAGATAGAAAAACAGTAGATTGGTGGATATAAGTAAACTGAGACAGCAAAGGATTTTATAATAGCTGTACTCCATTTTAAATTTCAGTTACCTCTTTAAAAATATTAACTTCTATAATTTAAAATACATAGTAATTACTCCTAAATTACCTCCTTGTCTAGCATATAGACTTCCTCCAAAATAACCATTCACTGGTGATGTAGCAGCATAGACAAATATGGCTGTACTGAGCATTGATCCTCTCCTAAAAAGATGAAAACATACCAAAACCAACAATTAAAAAAAAATTCTCCTCTATTACATTAGATTAATTTCAAAGATAAATAGTATAGTATCAACTCATAAGTGATGAATTTAAATCAATATTTAATGTAAAATACAACTTGTTGGCAGATTTGAAATATTTTTCTTAAATTTAGCATTCTGTTTATCTGAAATATATTATTCCCTAAAATATGAACTCACTCTAACTCTGAAATTTTGAGTTTTGGTCAATTATTTTAAAGCTTCTGTGGTAAGTGAATTGCAAAGGTAACATATATTAAAGAAACATAACAGAAACTACAAAGAAACAACTTTGTTGTTAATACATATTCACTTCAGTTCAACAAGCACTGATTAAGTTCCTCCCACAGGCAAGGCTCTTTAAGTAAGTACAGTACTTTTAAAATTAAAAGGTAAGTTAAAACCTAATCCTTACTCCCAAGAAATCTACCTAAGAGAGGAAAAAGCAATTTTGTATACAGCAAAATATTTAACATACTACAAGAGTTATTCTTCCTACATGAATTATTGCTTGTCCCTGAAACAGTGGGTACAAATATATTATGAACTAAACTAGAGGTATGAAACACAACTAGAGAATAGTGTCATTCTGACAGAGGGCATCATAACTGAATCAGAACCACTGCCCCCATGTACCAGATAATATATGTTGTAGCTCTCTGAGCATAAAGTGACAGGACTACTTTTGGGAATATACAACTTTTTTAAATTCAAAGACCTCAAACCAAAATTTCAAATAAATAATTTTGTTAGGAAAAAGAAAAAAAACAGCACCAAAAACCATGTAAACTTAGGATACTGATTTATGACTTTTGTACTTAAGTATTCATTCAATTACTTTCTAACCTTGTATGACCTTTCCATCACTCTTTTTACCATTAGTTAGAACCTTCTATTCTGCAGAGTCTCCTAGATTTGGACAAGACTGTTAAGTACTAATTTACTGACTGTATAATCCTGTACCTAACCTCTGCTTAACTTTCTAACAGAACATAAACTTTGTAACCAATCAAAATGTTTAGTAATGCTAGGAAGATTTAGAATGTACAAAAAATATAGCTTAAGGTTATTATTCATTATTTGTCTATAGTAATATTTATAGTATTTAATTTCTAATGTAACAGAAACAAATACTTGTGATTAATTCAAAAGGTTTCAATGATTAAAACTATTCAATAACAAAAAAGTAATAAAGTATAAGCACTTACTCTGTATATAAGTCTTCTATCATTGCAACAATAATGACAATAAGAGACACAGCAAATATCTGACATCCAGAGCCAATGAGAGAGGAAAATATCAATGGGTGACTTGATGGTCTAAATACATCTCCATGCACCTGCTTCCATCCATATTCATCTCCTAGGTCTCTATCCTATTTACCAATATGAATGTACAGAGAAATGAAAATCATTTAAATTGAATTAAAACAGTCAACAGATTTTTTTTTTAAAATACAGTTTTATATTCCCTCTCTCCAAATTTACAGCTTTTTAAAGAAGTTAAAAATACTGGGAAGAGATATTGGGCTACATAGTGAGTTAGAGGCCAACCTAAACAACATAATAAGACTGTGTCTCCAAAAAAAAAAAAGGTGGCAGGGAGAGAAAAAAGTGTGTGTGTATGTGTGTGTGTGTGTGTGTGTGTACACACAAGATAGTTACATAGCTAGTTTCTCTTCACTGAGAACAGAATGTGCTAATATTTCATGCCTCTATCCTGTATCCTGAGTAACTACTATGAAGCTAACTCCTACAATTATTTTAAGGCCCTATTCATAACTGTAGCTTTCTATAGTATTGGTGTGGAGTGATGTGGTGTGGTTTTTGAGACTGGGTCTTGCTATGTAGTGCCGGCTGGTTTAAACTCGCAGCAATCTTACTGTCTCTCCTTCCCAAGTTCTGAGATTATAGGAGTACACCACCAAACCTGGCTCTACAGTGGTTTTTAAAAAGAAATCAATTTTTCATAAGAAATAGCAGTCACTCAAGGATATCTGTTTTTTTCTTTTAGAGGTAGTAAGGTGGAAAAAGTCCTGGTCAGGTACGTTTTAAGGAAGAACAAATATCTTACCTACCCTCTGGTATGCGATAATACATTTTTAACACATTAAAATTTAAGTAGCTCCCAAACTTCATTACAGATAAAGTAGTCCTACATAGAATAGCCATTAATATTCTATAGAACCTATTTTGTTCTATAACTTAAAATAATTTAGAAAACAAATCTCTTCTCTGAACTGAGCTAAAAAGTAAATCTTTCCATCCACTCCCTGAACTTTATGCAATATTTAACAGCACTAGAAAGATACTGATACAGGTCTACAACCTTCTAGCTGTAATTCTGAAAATCAAGATTATTTCATAAATTTGATGTATCATTATCTGATGCAAAACAGCCTGCACGAGAGGTTATTCACGGCTGGATGGCCTACATCTGTAATCCCAGCATTCTGGGAGGCTTAGTCAGGCAGGAGGATCACATGTTCAAATCCAATCTGGGCAATTTAGTGAGTTAAGTCAAGACCCTGGGGCTCGAAATAAATGAAAAAGGCCTGAGATGTAGCTCAGCGTAAGGGCCTTTGGTTTGATCTCCAGTACCACCTCCCAAAAAGGGACATTATTTATAGTGTTTATCTACTTAATAGTGTTTATAGGGTCTTACTGAAAAATATTCATATAACTCACTAGTGAGCAATGTTCCCGAACACCACTGAGAGATTTTTATCTTATTAAAACCTCAACATTCTAAATTTTGAAAACCTCATCTGGCCTCAGAACTTCAGATAAATTATGAACATTTCAATGTTTGAAATAACAGCAAGATGAACTGTTCCTATAAGTATAACATAAAATATTTACTCACCATGTCATCCATTTCTTCTTCTTTACTATACCGGGCATAATCTTTTCTTAAAGTTCTCATTAAAATCATTGAAACTAAGCCCACTAAGAAGATCACCATCATGAAAGAGTTGAAAATTGAAAACCAATGAATCTAAACCAACAGAAAAATAAAATGAAATAGTCACGAAGATTATAGGTTTCATGATCATAAACTAGATGTTTATGGAAATAAAAAGACTTAAAATCTACATAAAAATCCAAACCTAAAGCATGTCGGAGGTAAGTGTTCACTATGGCAAAAAATTGGTTTTCTTTATGGTATGCTTCCACATACTGAAAACATGCTATTATTCACACTGAAGTTCACAATCAAATTTACTGTACTGACAGAGTACCATTTGGCCAAATGGCATGTGCAACTCAGCATTACACAGAAATAAGATGGGGCATGGAGCAAACAGGCCTGGTTATTTTAACACACTCTGCCTAGCTATGTAGTCACAGTTTTCTCATCTGAAGAATGGAGGAATTTTAAGTGATTTATAAGGTATAAAAACATAAAAAGCACAGTACTGCACCAGGTATGGAACAGTAGCAACAGTAAAAACAATAGATAAATGTTACTTTTCTACCCCGAACTGAGCAACAATCTGAAAATCTTAAATCACAACTAAGCAATTGCATTTGGCTGCCACAGACTTGGGCTACCTCACTGAATAATGTACTTCACTTGCTTCCAGTAATTCATCCTCTCTGTCCTTTTACCCTTATTCGGTTCTCTCCAAAGTTGCCCCTGGTACACAAAACGGAAATATCCCTTAGTTTTCCAACATTCAGAAGGCTCCTGGGTTTGGTCCCATCCACACTTTAAGTCCCAACAGTATATCCAGACTTTGGTCCATAATCAGAAAATACTACTGTGTCTCTGTGTCCATATCAGAACTCAGTGCCTCCAACTTGAATCTGGTCTGTGGCACTGCCCATTATTCCATTACTTAACATTTCCAAAAGATCCTTAAGGATACCTCTGAAATTTCTCTACTCTCTTCCAGGCCCCATCAGCATTCTCTCTCCTGTCTTCTACCACCCAGCAGGACAAGACCTTTATTCAAGCAGTTTTGTTGTTTTTGACATAGAGTCTCACTATGTAGTTCAGGCTAGCCCCAAACACACAGTGATCCTCCTGCCTCAGCTTTCTAAGTGGTTGTAGGCCACTGTACTTGGTTGTTCACGTATCTTTCTAAACTTTCATTCTTCATGTCAGTCTCCTAGAAGCAATTTCCTTTTGAAGTCAGTCTTTCTTGCAGGTGTGCCTAGGGCACACCTGCCACAGCAGATACACAGAGCCTTCTCTGTTGGGCCTTAAGCCAACTTGCCCCAGCATCAGATGATTCACACCTAAATGCAGTGTTGGCAACCATGTGACAAATAAGTGTGTTTTGGGTTGTAGTTTCGGCACTTGGTCTCTAAAAGGTTACATTGGGGCTGGGGATAGAGTTCAGCAGTGGAAGCACCTGCCTGGCAAGTAGGAGGTCACTGAGTTCTATTTCCAGTACAAAAAAAAAAAAACTAAACTAAAAAGTTCATCATTACTACTTTAGGCTCTACATTTCATTCACTTTGAGATGTTTTCCTCCTCTTATTTCGTACCTCTAAACCTTTACTTTTCTCCAGCATTAACAATCTCCAAAGGTCCTCACCCAGAATAGTATCTACCACCTGGAGTTGTTATAAAGTTTAAATGGGATAATAACCATGAAGTATAGTGTCACGCATATCTAAAATCATTAAAATAGAATCTGAAAGTTAGTGTTACTATTATTATCCTCTTTCAAAGCATATGGCCCTTTGTCTTGTTCTTCTGATCTTCAGCCTCATCTCCCTTCCAGTGTCAATACTTTTCATATAATTACATTTTTCATTCCACCCTCTACTTCCTCCAAAATACAGTGTATGTCAATGTTGTCTTCCTCAAATTTCTCTAAAATGACTACAATGAACTTAACAGATTCAGCAGTCAATTACCTCTTTCCTTTCCTTGATCTCTCTGTCACACTGCCCTATCCTGACACTGTCCATTCTACCTCCCCTCTTACATCTTCTATGCCTTTCCTACCACCTATTTTGAACTTCTCCAAAAGTTCCAGCCTCGTAATACTCTGCTGTGACTTCTTGGACTCTCAGAACTTGTAACGAGCACTGTAACAATTGACACTTTCCATTCCTTGCCCCAAATCTCTGCCCCTTGCTCATGTTTCAGACTTTTGCTAACTACAGTAATTTACACTTGAATACCTTTCTGGAATTTAAAATTCAGACTGCCTGAATTGTTATAGTAAATTTGTAATCATCCTTCACATATAGCACTCACTTCTGATTCTCTAACTTCTGCTAAAGGTATTAGCTTTTCTGAAATAATTATGTTCATGTATCACTCCTCTATTAAGAGTAATATACTCAGTCAGGGATTTAGCTCAGTGGCATAAGCCCCTGCCTGGCAAGCATGAGGTTGAGAGTTCGATCCCCACTACAAAACAAGACAAAAGAGTAACATACTCTATTTCTTCCACATCAAAGTTAAATTATTTCCTCAGCAGTCTATATTCCACATAACATGACCAACTCATCTCTAATCAACCTCTCCTTCCATTATTATTTATCTCCTAAACAGGCCCACTATTCCAGTTCAGTGACCCATAAACACAGCTAACTTCTATTTCCTTGGGTTTTTTCATATTTTTTTTCAAATAGGAGCTACTTCTATCCCCCTGCATAAATTGTACCAATTCTTCAAATTCCAATTTAAGCAGTCCCCTTACTTCCCTAAAACCTCCCATCTACATGTTCCAGTTCTTCATGAAAATTTTCCTGCTCTAAACTTCTACAAGTCAGTCTATAGAACATAATACACAGTTTACTGTCCTACACAATTACGGCAGATTTTACCTAACCAGGTCTAATGTGCAGAGGAAGTGCACGAAGGTGAAGGGTAGTCTTGGCTCTGCTACCTGCCCTGAGACTTCAAGGAGAGGTCACAACTCTATGGCTCTTCCTGAAAATGAGACAGTTACTTTTACCTCTTCACAAGATCATGCCTTTCCTTATTTAACTATATTTTCATTGAATACCTACTGAAATCATACAGAAAATAATGGATTATATTTTGAAATGTCTGCCCCAAAAAGATATAAATAAATTTATAGTAATGGTGTCACCTAAGATTTAAAAAGCAGTCTATGATGACAGACTTTTCGAAAGATTTCATTTTGTTCCCATTTAAGAAATTAACCCACAAAAAATTAAAAAAAGAGAGAGAAATATGACTCATACCTTCTTTTAGCCAACTTATCAAATATATACAGTTATATTTAGTAATAAGAAAGATACATCTAAAATGCTCAACTTTGTAACATGGACAGAAATGGAGATTATTATGTTAAGTGTCAAGCAAAAAAGGTAAGTATTACAGCTGCGGATGGTGGGGGGCATACTGTGTAATCTCAGCACTCTGAAAAGCTGAGGCAGAAGGTTTACAAGTTTGAGCCTGGGTTGGACAACCTGGTGAAACCCTGTCTCAAAATAAAAACTAAAAACTGGGCCAGGCATAGGATTGCATGCCTGTAATCCCAGCACTCGGGAGGCTGAAGCAGGAGAATTACAAGTTCAAGGCTAGTCTGGGCTACACAGTAAGTTCAAGGCCAGCCTGAACTACATACCATAGCAAGACCCTGTCAGAAAACAAAACAAAACACCAAAGCCAACATAAAAAATGGGGAAAGGGTGTGTGTGTGCATGCAGCTAATAGTGCAAAGGCCGTAGGTTCAATCTCCAGAACTGCACACACACACACACACACACACACACACAAAACACTGCATGATCTCATTTAGATGTGGAATCTAAAAACGGTTGATCTAGAAACTGAGAGTACAACAGCAGTTATCAGAGGGGGAGGGAAACAGGAGCAGAAAGAGACAGAAAAAATTGGTCAATGGGTACAAATTACAGTCTGAGAGTAAGAAGTGCTTGTACACAATAGGGTGACTACACATAACAATAATGTACTATATTTCTAAAAGCTAGACTAAAGGATTTTGAAGGTTTATATCATAAAGAAATAAATATTTGAAGAGAGATACTTACCTTGATTCAAACTCTACATAACACAATGTATACGTGTATATCATCACATAGTACCTAATAAATATGTCTGATTTTTATGCTTATGTTTTAGTTAAAAATAAATTTAAATTTTAAAACTGTCAACATTTATAAAACTTTCTTCTAATCTAAGATATAAATTTTAAACCAAAATCTATTAGAATCCAATATCAATGGACTAATATTTATAACATTCCTTTATTCTAAAAATTATGAAATATGGTATGATTTTGGAATTTTTGTACCAAGAAAAACATTTCTTAAAAATAATAAAAAATCCTGGTATCACTTAAGGGTTACTGACCTTAACTGCTGCACGCCAGCTCCCTCTAGTGTTACTAAGATAGAGCCATATTCTCCGTTTGTCACCCAGTTTGCAAGGAACCAGAGGGGCACACTGTGCTGACACTACTGTCTTACCCTCAGTACTGCTGCGTGCCAACCCTCAAGCCAGATGTCTTTTGACCATGACCCAAGAGAAACCGTCCTACAACTCTGCAAGGTGCTTGAGTCCTTGCTGCACTGTTAAGGAAGCAGAAACTGAAGATCTGAGACATCTGACCAGGTCAGTGAGCAGCAAGGCAACAGCTGGATTTGGCTTACATTCCTGTCTACGCTTCTAGTCAGCGAGTTAGAAACCAACCCTCACTCACACAGTAGGTCCCACTCCTCCCACGCACTTCAGAAAAACACTGCATCAACTCTCTTTTTCACCTGCCTTGACAGTTTTACACTCTCCACTAACCCCATGGACTTATGTGTTTCTCTTTTATCTTGAAGGAAATCTCCTGAATCCATATGCTCTACTGGCCCCTCCACAATTTCTTTGTTCTTACAAGATTATATTCACATGGTGGTCCATTCCTATAATCTCAGGACTTTAGGAGGCTGAGGCAGGAGGATCACAAGTCAGGGCACTCACCCTGGGCAACTTAGTAACACCTATACTTACTATCACCAATTTCTCTCCCCTATTCTTATAGTAGGTTCCATTCAGATTTTTACCCACTGAGTCAGGTTCGTCAATAGCTCCAAATTAGTCCAATAGTGGCTTTTCAGTATGCATCATCATGCTATAGTTTGCATTAGGAATGCTCATACGTTGAAGGCTCAGAGCCCCACTTGGCAAAACTGTGTGTGGAGGTCATAGAAACTTGAGAAATAAGGCTACGGGAGGTTTCTCATCACTGCAGGGTACTGCCTCAAAGGCAATGGTGAGGCTCTTCTCAAAAGGAACAAGGAAGGATGTGTCCCTTTCCCTCTCTCTCTCTCAATTCCACCCAAAATGTGAACAGCTCTGCTCTGCCACACGTTTCCCACCATGCTGTGTCATCTCACCACAGACTTCAAGCAGGATGGCCAACTACTCATGGACTAAAACATCTTCTCTCTGGAAGGTGACTGTCTTCAATTATTTTGTTGTAGTAAAAGAATGGTGGCTAACACCTCTTACTTCATCTACACCTACAATTCAGAACTAATTTCTCCAGTCTCCAAAATATACTTTGTTTTTTTGGCTTCTAAACCATCACACATTCTTATATTTTTTCCTTCAGAATTTTTAGCCAGGTTCCCCCTTTCTCCCTAAACTCTTATTACTAATCCCAGGAACCATTTCCTTGGCGTCCAACTGCTGAAAACACACAATTCCCCCCAACTGCTTTGCCTTCAAGAGTAAAATCCAAAGTCTTTACAGTGGATGAGCCGATTCCTACCAGCTGACTTTATCTTCCCCCTACCCTTCAAATATATGTGCGTTCTTTCTCTCTTTTAAAGGCAATGGTAAATTGCCTCTGCCTAGAATACCCTTTCCTTCAGATATCCTTATTCCCTATTCTCCTCAACTCTTTCAAGCTTCTGCTCACAAGTCCCTCCCAGAGGCTTCTCCTGACAATCACATTTAAAAGAGCAACTCATCATGCCTATGAGAAGCATGCTCTACTGCTCTCCTTTTCTTGTCCAATCATTAGAACCACCATCTATGTTAGTTATGAAAATAGAAAATAAGCTCCAAGAAGATACAGATCTTTGCCCTGCACTTTCTCATGTGACCCATTTCCTATGACACTACATGGCACCCCACACATGCTCAATTAATTAATGCTGAAAAATAAATACAGTACACTCCTCTGCAGTAAAAATGCTAGAAGGCAACGTTTCCTCTAAGTCCTCAATACACAATGGGATTAGAACAAGACAGATATAAAGTTCCAATAGGGAGTGCCTATTGAAAGCCTTCATATTTTCAAACAGTACCTAAACTTTAAAGTAATCTATGCCCATATCTGTAACTGGATTCTTATACTGTGGACCAAGACTAATCATACCTGAAGAGCACTGATGGCATGTAGGAGAAGAGAGATGGGGGAGAAAAGTGCAACTACAACAGAAATAGGCTAACCCTTCAATGAGAGTTAAATCCCATGTACCTTAACTGTTTTTTCTTTTTCTTTCTTTCTTTCTTTTTTTTTTTTTTAATCCTAGGACTCTAAGGAAGATTAGAAGCAGTGATAGGTTTGGTGGAACCTAGAAGCACTGGCATAATTAAGCAATTACTAAACTTCAAATTTCCAGCTCTTTTTTTACAGATGGTATCAAAAGAAAAGGCAATTCAGGGATATATTTAGAAAAATGAATACATCACCTTATATCTTGTGGTCTTTTAAACTCTATCCTTAAAAAAAAGAACCACCAAAATAAGGCCTATATTTGCCCTGATGACCCAAAACTACTTCTACCCAACTGGCACCAATGCCACCAACCAGTCTTTGGAGCTAAGATGTAGCTTTTATCTATTGCTGAAGGATTAGGGATGTGAAAGATATTTCTTTCCAGTCTTGAAGTTCCTTTTCTTTTTGTTTTTTTTTTTTTTTGTGAGACAGGAAGTCCAGGCTGGCCTTGAACTCATGGTGATCCTCCTGCCTCAGCCTCCTCAGTGATGAGATTAAAGTGTGCACCACCATGCCCAGGTTGCTTTGTTTTGGATTTGGGTTTTCGAGACAGGATCTCACTATGTAGTACAGGATAGCCTTGACCTCACTGTGTAGACCAGGTAGGCCCTGAATTCACAGCATTCTTCCCAAGGCCTCAGTGCTGGAAGTATAGGTATGCACCACTATGCCTAGGTTGATGTTCCTTTCTATATGGAAAAATTTCTACTAGCAAAACTTCTTACCTCACTCCAATCTCTCATTCATTCCATTATAAGAAGTTGGGTACATCCTGCTGTTTCTTCATATCATAAATTTTACAAGAGCAGGTGACCATGTCAGGAAGTCTATAATAATCTAATAATCTAGCACTGACAATGCTGACTCTAATTCTAAATTTCAGTAGCAAGAGGCTTTTTTGACCATGGATATAAACTACATTCTCAAATATTAGTTTCATTAGCAATTAAAGTGGTATTTTGGTTTCCCATATAGTATATTCTTCTTTGCATATCTCTTAACTGGTTTAAAACATAGCACAATGAAGGGAGCCTGACTGTTCCTCTAAAACTCTTTTACCACCCTTATAGACTCAAAGCTCACAACTGAAATTGCAATTAAGTGAATCTTGAAATCCACATCCTTGAGTGCCTTACATAAAAGAGATGCTCAGTGTTTGCAAAATTGATTTGCATACACACACAATGCTTTAAAATATACCTACCCTGTGTTGAAAAAAGGATGGATCAAGATATTTGTCAAATCGATCTTCAAATTTTACATCTGACTTTTTCCATTTTACCTGAAAAAAATTTTTCATTTGAAAATCAAGGCTAGTAAACAAATTAATAATCTGATGACAAGTCTGTGTAAAATTTAACTTTATACATGTAGAATTAAAATTATGTAGAGAAATGGTAGAAAGCCAGACAGTTTAACAAGCTTAAACAGGTACGACAAAACCAAATTTCTTCTTTATGTATTAACAAAACTCACAATGTTCCTTAGTAGGATCATTTTAGTTTTCAAGAACTATCATTACTTTTGTCTTACATATCCTGACCTGACAGCTGTATGAAGAAATGAATTAACACATTCACATCACAAGTGTTTAAACCAATTAAAATAAATATTTAGGGCTGGGGATTTAGCTCAGTGGCATAAGCTCCTGCCTTGTAAGCAGGCAGTCGTGAGTTCAATCCCCGGTACCGATAAAAAGGAAAAAGACAAAAAAATAAAATAAAATAAATATTTGTACTCCTTTATCTTCAGAGTACATTAGTTTTATTCCTCAGTCATATTTCTAAATTTATGCAAATATTATGCAAATATCATTTGTACTAGATATACACACATAAAGCTTTAAAAATTCAAAAATTGGCTATAAGTGATCACTCATCTTAGCTTCCAGGATAGTAACTGGCAAAGAGGGTACCCACAATGGATTTCTTTTTCTTCCTACCACTTTTAAGCCTAACACAATGTCATTAATTTGGTAGTTGCTACAGAACCCTGATAAGCTCTTACTCTGCAAAAGTACATCTTCCCAAAAAACAAGGCAAAACATGGTAAATTATACCATTCTAGAAACTTTCAATACAGTACCATTTCTATGTGCAACAGTAAAACAAAACAACAAAAACCGTATTAAGTATTGTGATCTAAAAAATGTAAAACTGAAAACATATGGTTTTGTTAGTTGACCTGCCCAGGTATAAGGGTACATGCTGCTAGATCAAATAGTTCATCCTACAAATGCATTACTTGTAACTAATACTATAGACTTGAAGCACATCTTCTCTCTGCTTCTAGAGGCTTATACTGAGAAAATATAGTTTTAATACAGTGTTGTTATATTTAATTTCTTTTTGTTTGTTCGATTTACTTCTTTTTGTTTGTTTGTTTTATTTTTTTGAGACAAACCCTCACACTATATAGTTCAGGTGGGTCTTGAACTCACTATGTAGCCAAGTCTGGTGTTAAACTCACAGTAATTTCCTGCCTCAGCCTCCATAGTGCTAGGATTACATGCATGTGCCACCACTGCCAACTCTACATTTCCACTTACTAAAGCTACAGAACATAATCAATCACAAACACTTCTTCCTGCATACTTTATTTTAATACTTACTGAATAAGACATCTGTATTTTCGTATTCGGAACCAGCTTCACCTTTCCTTCACTTGTTAGGTTAACATCAACAATTCGATTTCCATTAAAACCTATTTCAAGTTTTTTATAGGTCCAAAGATAGTAATCTTCCCCATTTTCATCTGCTTCACCAACAATACCTAGAGAAAAAAAAAAATACTTCATAGAAGATAATACCATGTAGCATTGAAAACATCCCAAAAGCTAAAAACTTATTAAATTCTTTATACTGATGTGATCACTACTTAATGAACACCATGGGCATACCAGACACACTATGGTGAAAAAAATAATGAAATCTCAGCATTTTGATTCTCAGCGTTCATGCTTTATCATTATTACCACCTCCACTGCAACAATTATCACACAAGATTCTGAAAATTTTACCCCCCAAAAAAGTCAAATTGAAATTTTTTTGGTAAGGATTCTCCATGGTTCAGCTACTCTAAGATATGAATATCTTCCCAAACACTGCAGACCCTGAAATTCTAGGGCTAAATAATACATTAAGACAAAAAAGAACAGTTCTCACTGTTGCTAAAGAGATCCACTGTAGTAACAAGAAGAACAAAAAGAAAAGAAAATCTTAAAAATCTAAACAAAATACTCATAAGTGATAAAAAAAAAACAGGGGAGAAACTGCTCTCCTACCATAAATGAAGAATTGTCCTTACTGGATTGTGCTGAACTAGAGCCTCCTGAATCTTCAGTATATATTCAGTACCTTTTTCTGCTTCTTCCCAGAACTGATCACAAAAATCTCTGGGTTATCAAAACACTAATTACAATCACCGTACGCAATGCTTACTATATATTTAATTAACGCACAACACAGCAATAATGATGCATACAATTATCTGCTGAGATGAGCTATCTTATAAATTTCAACAGAGTACAATATTAAACTCTGATCTGTTATGTTCAGGCATTCAGTTTGCTTCTAATGAGCATTAATGGTCTGGTAACAATTTATAAGAACTAGAAGAAACATGAATTATAGTATATGTAAGAGTGGGTGCCAGAAACATGAAGGGGAGGTGGGATTATGAAGAGAAAAATGTGATCAAATATTTTGACTATATAGTTGACTAAATCTGTGTTTTAAATAATTTAGTCAAGCCCAACACCAGCGATTATATGTTAAGGAAATGGTATGGATAAGCAAGAGCTACAACAAAAATTTTTTAAATATTGAAAGTTTCTGAAAGTAACAGTAAAACAACCCATTTGAAAAATTATCGTATCTAAAAACCACCACAGTACCACGTGACACAAAACAGAATTATCTTTAAAATTCTACTGATGTAGTACCTTTAAGAGAACAAGTTAATATAAAGTATGAGAGAAATAGAAGCAAAAGGTACTTCAGATTATTCCAAGCACCTTTTAAGTCCTTGAATCTGAAAACTTATACTCTATACAAATTGTATTAAAATACAAGAAGTTTATGTAAAGTTTGGCAATAGCAAAAATCCTTCAAGTACCAAGGAATGATAAAATCAGTATTAAATTGTTCTAAAGAGAACAGTGAAAATATACTGCCATAACCCAACGTACAATCACCTTAACAGAGTCATTACATGAATGTTGCTCATTATGCAAGCAGTCTTAAACCTGTTATGTTACATGTAATACTTACCCCATATAGGTAAGTCATCTATGTACATCTGGTACCAGTAGTGATTTTTGATAGCATACACAAATGCATCTCTCTTTTCTTTATCTAAGTCAATTTCACAGTAAGTAGCTGGCATAACATCATCTGCATAAAAAAAATGCAAATTAGTCCACTGGATTGCAAAACAGGAAAAACACAAGAAAAAAAATCCAGTATGTCCAGAAATTAAAATTTCTATTTATAATAGGTGAGTCTGAATGATACATATATGTGAGTTCAGTATATTGTCCTCTCCTTTTATGTATTGTATCTTTATACTTGTTTTACCATGAAATAATTTTACAAATATTTATTTTCAAAGATTACTTTTATCTTACTAAATGAAAAACTTCTCTATAAAAAATAATTTTATACACTAACAAAAAGAAACACAGGAAGAGTAGATCAGGAGATGGGGACCTTAAGATGCTCTGTATAGGAAATATACTCAACCTGAAAGAGGGTTTATGGACTGTAAGTCAAATATGAGAACACAATGCTCTACATGACAGGGAACCAGAGAGAAACAGGAGCAGCTCGTCCAGCACGTGCAGGTAGGATAGAAAGACTGATACTTTTATGCAGTGGAGAACTACTCAGCTATAATGAAGGAAAACCTTGAGGCTTCAGTAGGTAAAGGAATACAATTTGAGATCAAACCAGGGGTAAAAAGGTTCAGAATCACTTAATAGTGGGTTGTACCCCTAACCTAAAATCTAAAGGAGTTAGTGGGACCCAAAATGTACAATGCACCCTGTGAAAGTGAAAGGGGAACAACTGTCTAAAAAAGGAAGGCAAAGGACATTGTTAATAGTGTATCAGGATTTAAAATCCATATTATTCTCAATGTTCCAGTTTGTCTACTTGTACTAGATTTGAGGGCTCAGACAGCTATCCCCAAAAAATAGCAGGATATATTACGGTAACCATTCTGAAGCCCTGTATAACTTACACTTTCTTATTATGACTGATCTTATTTGAATGTGGTTTGTTAGATCACTGTTTTGTATTGACTGACTTTATTCGAATCTGTTATGATTGATAGTATCAAGTCAGAGAATATAAATAACTACTCTGAAGAGGACAAGATTCACTAAGATACCCACCATGGTTTGACTATTACCTGCTTTTGAAGTCTTTCAATGTCTCCAATGTTTTATTTTTATTTATATTGTTATGTACTGCTAAGTTCAATTATACTATGCCTGATGATATAGACAATTCTATTGAATGTAACAAGAGACAACACAGTAACCATTATAGATCACCTTCTATTGTGATTTTATATGACTTTTTCATTTCATGTTTTTCTAGGAAATTGTTTTGTTTTGTCTTGTTTTGTTTTTCCTTCTAATTCAGGAAGGATAGATATATATGTAGACTCTTGCATGCGTAGAACTTCTAAGCAGTCTATGAGAACTGATTATACAATGCATGAAATGAACAACTATTTTGAAGAAAGAGACACTACAGTACCCAGTGCTGATTCCGTAGCGTCATGATGTGAAATCCAGCAATACTATTATTCTTTGTTCAGAGTGATTTTGTCTGTTTTTGATTTGTTTAATTTTAACATATGTGAAGGTATGGACAGCTATTTTTTTTTTTTTTTTTTTTTTTTTGGTCTTTTTCCTTTTTACCGGTACCAGGGATCGAACCCACGACTGCCTGCTTGCAAGGCAGGCGCTTATGCCGCTGAGCTAAATCCCCAGCCCCTGGACAGCTATTTTGAAGAAAATGAGAGACATTATGACAGCCATTGTTGACTTCCTTATTGTCTGGTCTTGAGGACCTAATATGCCTTCATCATTCTGTTCGGATCCGTTTTATACTATGTTATTTTGTATGAATTTACTGTATGTGAAGACATGGACAACTATTTGGAAGAAAACAAGAGACAATATGATAGATAGCAAAGATCTCCAGTGATCTTGCTTTGAAATCTGTGCTTCTTATATTGTTTTCTTATGTTCTGTTTTGTTGTGTTCAATTTTACCTTCTTTAAAATAAAATTTAAAACAGAGAACATTTATCAAGTAAATTAACACAAATTTTTAAAAATAAAAAGTTTAGGGCTAGGGATTTAGCTTAGTGGTGTAAACACCTGCCTGGCAAGTGTGAGGTTGTGAGTTCGATTCCAGCACCAAAAAAAGAAGAAAGAAAAAGCTTAATATAGATAAGCTTTTTATTTAATACATGTGATGGGTGACAAATATGAACCCTAAACAGAAGTAATAATGTCTAGCTAAAAGATCTCTGAGATTAAAATTCATTTTAGCATTCTTGGAAATACAAGGACCAAACGTTCTACGAGGGATCCCTGTGATTCTTCATAATTAGAAAGATTAGAAGGCAAACCTCTATCCACTAGGTATCACTATACCTAAATTACTTGAAAGTCCTAAAGATGAATCATTTCTACTCTTGACTACATTAAAAAAAAAAGTATCACCATTAAAATAAAAATCTACTTTAAAAATATGGTTATGTTTCTAACAAAATAAATCCCCAACCTGTAAATACTCTAAACGCCAATCAAAAGGACTAAACTATCTGATGTATTACTTAAGCAATTAGGGGGAAAAAAAATCTTAACAGGAACAAGAAAGAAAGCACAGGTTTGTTTTAAATTCTCTTATACTTTAATATTGCTTATTTAGAATTCAAACGCAACTCACCTGAAGAAATACTAATCTTCTTAAATATTGATTAAAACTTCAACATTAACTATAGGGGAATCATGAATTTTACAGATACCTCTCATACCATTTCTTCTATTTTTTTCCTCTTTTTGGTACTGGGAATTGAATCCAGAACCTTGCACTTACAAGGTAGGCGCAATACCACTGAGCTACATCCTCAACCGTCTCATGTTAATAATTTTTTTTCGTCCATGTTTGCAGCATCAGCAGTTTACAATCATCTTGCAGAATGGGTACATGTATATAGTACATGTTTCCTTTTTTAATACACTTTGCCCTTCCTCTAATTCCCTATCTCAATTTTCATTCTTGTTGATATTAATCTTAGCTCATGTTACAACATGTAATGTTTATATTCATTGAGTACACTAGGTTTCTGTACATGGCATATCTTTATTCTACTAATTTCCTGTTCCCCTCCTCTTTACCCCTTGCCCTTGGTTCCTTTGGACCCCTCCCCTTCATTATTTCTTAGTAAGAAAGAGCAATCTGAATTGTAACTCAAGGTATTCTACAACGTAACTAAGCCCCTCAGAAAGCAGCTTCCCCTTATAATAGATTAACCCAGAGCAGATATCCTCACATGACAACAAAATCCCACGGAAGGAGAACACAGAAATAGCTCTCAGCCTCAAGGTAGGAAAATGAAATAGCTCTGTCTTACAATAGTTAACTCTCGGTTAGATTTCATTTCTATTCAAGCCCTTTCGGGGCAGCAAGAAATTTAGGATTTTTATAAGAGTAAAAACAGCCTGAGCAGCGAGGCAAGGGACAGTTATGCTATAAAAGGGTCTCACAAAAGCTAGAACTCTCTGCAAGTGGTCCCCAAATAAGATCTTCATAGAGTGTGACAATGAACAAAGGACAGAAGGCAACTGCAGCCACAGAGAGGACAACCAGAACAAAAGGAAGCTTTAGGCTTAGAGTGTGGCAAATGTCGGAGATGGCTTGGGAGACCTCTCACTACCCCTGCAAAGCCAAGAAATTCCTTGTTGTTATAAAAAGACATGCTTTTATAACAGTCATTAAAGGCGTGATGGTTTTAAAGATGAAGTTCTGAGCACTATAGTATGATATTTACCTGTACAAACCTTGTAAAAGGCTCCTCACAGTTTGAACTTCAGTTCAGCTGTTCCCAAATGCATCTATCATCCTGTCTCCCTCCATTCCATCCTAGCTACCTGCAGCTCCCTGTGCCTTCTGCGGTCTTGGCCTCTGGACTCTGCCTGCCTATGCTGTTGACTCCTAAAATCTTTCCCATCCCACTCTCCTCCACAGAGTACTCCACTTCTCACAGTCTGCCCCTTGCTCTGAAGTCCCATGGCTTTCTCTCCACAGCTCCATAACAGCATATGGGGACTGACATGTTAGGTTCTCCAAAACCCCTGAGACCTTGAGGTGGTATCAGTAACTGACTACATTCTTTTTACTCCCAGCTCTGTCTGCTTCAGTACCCCTCTTCAGAGTACGTGCTACAAATAAAAGTTCTAACATTTTTAAGAGCATAGTTTTTCCATTTATTTGGCAAAAGAAATCACTGAGATGTACATATGCATCCATCTATGCAGGAATGGGATGTGGGGCTATTGTTGTAGAAGTAAATGTCAATACAAAATGAAGTTTTTAAGCTACTTCTCACCAGAATTGGCAAGAAGTCTTGAAGAATACGTTTCACTGGTGTAAAATCTAGAAATGAAACGAGATAAAGGGGGAAAATCTTTCAAGGTAAATTATATAAAAAGTAATGTTGAGTCGTGCTTTAATGAAATTCCTCTTCTAGGCATGTATGCAAATGCAACATCACACATAACTGAAAAGTCTAGTTGCTTAACAGACACCTCACATCTCTCAGAAGGAAGCTGATCTAAAGAAAACTAATGCAGTGTAAACTAACACAACTTACTATTCAGCATTCTATAAAACTGGAAAACAATCTGGAAAATCAACATAAATCACAACTTGAAAGTTATAATAGGGCATCTTTTTCAGATAAACCACAACTATAAATTCTTAAGAAGAAATTAAAGATTTTACCAATGTAGCCAGGGGTGGGGGCACATGCCTATAATCCCAAAACTCTGGGAGGCAGAAGCAGGAGGATCACAAATTTGAACCCAACCAGACAATTTAGCAATTTAACGAGACCCTGTCTCAAAATAAATTTAAATGGGATTTGGCTTAGCGTGAAGACCCTAAGGTTCACTTCCTAGTACCACAAGCAAACAAAATGCCAAAAACCAACACACTAATTTAAATACTTTTTATGGAAAGAAAGTAAAACAACCAAAGTTATGAAACGGTAAGTTCAAACAGCAAGCAAAGTTAGGTGGTGTAGACACTGAATCTCAATATGTCTCAATTCCAAACACTCCAGAATAGTAACTATATAGGCAGAGAAAACTT